GAGGGGGAAGTGAACTCTTTTCCCCTCAAGACTTTTCCCCTGCAACTCTCATTCTGCTTCCCCCACTTTTCTTACTATGCGAGAGAGAAAGAGATCCTCCGAGCCATTTTCTATCTCACTTCATTGCTTCAACGGCCAGCATAGCATGCGCAGTCTATGTATATATGTCTATGGGCGCATCTCTGATTTTAGGTCTCTATTCCTTACCCATGTCTCTTGATTTGTTATACTCTATTTGATAAGAAACTCTGCTGATTAGCTATACTTTATTATCAGTTTATGGATTAGATTAGATTCCCATATCAATTTAAAAAAAGAAAGAAAAACAATTATTACTTATAATCATTAAACTCTACATACATACTGTGCCACAATGGTATAGTGCGCGCCGAAAGAGATAGCAAATTAAAATTTATCCTCGAGAAATCAGTGAGATGTATGTATGTACATGAGAGTGTGTAGATTTCTCTAGTGTAGATACATTGCTTGTTGGAATCGGTTTAAAGTAACTTTTCCTTCGGACTGTACAAAAACGAGGATAGATAGCTGTATTGACCCTCTCTTTCGGTGTGCACGGTACCATTTGTTCCAATATGTAGAGTTCAGTACTCATAGTGATTACTTTGTTATTACTATCGTCTGCTGCGATTTGCCACGCAAACAACAATCCGAGTCACTCTCTGGCCTCATCGGAGTGAACCGAGGAGCGAGGATACAATTAAACGCATGTGACAAAAAACGTTTATACGCATTTGCTCTAGAACTGTGAGATTCGAGAAATTATCGAGAGATCGGTCGTGTAGAAAATACGAAAGTCATAATAATGCCGTATATATATTTATTGTGATATACGTATGCGGGTCGCAAAATACTGGCAAAATGCGGTGGCCCTCGCTCAGCGTTATTCTTTCCCAGATATTTTTGGCATACATCGTGTATTCGATATATAGCCTATCATTGCTGTTCGTCTCACCAGTTTGCGAGGACGGCAAACCATGTCTCAAATCATACCTAAGCGAACGACCGCAATTGAATCTGTACATCTACAGCTCCGTCAAGAGAAATCCCACGAGTAGAGATGTCGATCTCGTGTATTCGGCGCAAAATTTCAATTACAATGAAGCGCAAATTATGTACGCATTCTCAATTGTTTAAACATATAATCGCTTTTCCATCCCTATATCCCACGTAACAACTATATTTTGGTTAATTTTTTATCTCTTCTCTATAAAAACAATCTACAATTGAAGTATATATACATAAACCAAAGTTGAACTTAGATAATTCTTATAGGAGTGATCTGGATTCTCTACACATGAGAGTTCAATATATGATATATATATTTTTTTCTCTCTTGCAGTCCAACCATATTAAATATTCCACGCGAAACGCGGCGAAATGGGACATTGTTTTTACATGTACTATTAGTTCCTACTTTCACAAAACAGGACAGGTCGTTCATCGATTTGCAAAAAGTAATTGCAGTCTAATACAATAAAATATATCGATGCTCTTTTTATTCAGAGTTTTCTGAAGTATTTCATTTTAATTATACTTTACAGGATATCTTTACTTCGTATATAACAATTAAGATGACACAATACATGGTACCTGAAGCAGAAGCATTTAAACTGTTGGGCAAGAAAGATTCCAGTATCAGTAAGGCCAACAAGATTGCTGTACATCTAGTCTCGCACATCAAAAGTCGTGTGACTTTTACAATAATGACAGACAATATTATGCTCCCTGCATATAGCGTGCCTGCCGAACTCGTGAATCACATAAGGTAGACAAATTTTACTTTTATTTGTTATCAAATGACTTAGAACATATATATACATACATAATGAATGTTATACATTGTTTAATTCGTTTCTTGTTACAGAATAATTGGCAAACAGACATTCTTGCCCATTGTCAATTACGATTTCTTACAAACGCGGCATCGGGATCTTCAACGAATTACTTTACAGAATAATACAATGAATGTCACTATAGAATATTCGCCTGTATCCCTAGGAAAACTACGATTGGTGCTACATGTGCAAGCAACTATGGAAAACTTGAAAAATCTCGGTTTCTCTGACAAGGACGTCGATGAAGTAAAGGGCATCTTTGCAGATACCAATATTTATTTACTAGGCGGTACATTCTTCATCGCTGCTATACATGTGAGTGTATAATAAAGAGTGTATTATTCTCATATTATATTAAAGAAGCGACGTCCATTATCTATCATGTTACAGTTGCTGTTTGATTTTCTTGCTATTAAAAACGATGTCAGTTTTTGGCGAAAGAAGAGTAATCTCATAGGTCTCAGCAAATGGACTGTAATGTGGCGAGCATTCAGCCAAACTGTGATTTTCCTTTATCTTTGCGATGAGAGTTCTTCGTTACTTGTTCTTATTCCAACTGGTATTGGCACTATTATCGAGGTGCGTGCATTTTTAATAAATACACAATATAACAAATATATAGTTATATCAACCAATATATACAGGATGTCAGAGTCCGGGCATCACTCCTTCCCCACTCACTGCTTCGCCGCACGCTTAGTATAAAGTTACAGTGGGACGACTCTCGTCGCCGCGCGCTTCTACTCACGTAGATTGGCCGATCTTCTTTAATTAATTTTTCATTAATTATTGCGAATATCATAAAACAGTATAGGACCTTCTCAATTTGAGCCAATACCTACCTTCATACTTCGGGACTGCAAAAAGTTATCAGACATCCTGTATAAGTTATATAAAAGGTTCGTCGCATCATCTGCCAAAAAAAACCATACTTAAGTAGATTAAACCAAACTAAAAAGTCCTATACCATTTTGCAAATAACCACGTAAAATTTCGAGATATTAATTAAAAATCAGCCAATACGCGCGAGTATAAGCACGTGATAAAAAGCTGCCCCACTATAACTTGATACTAGGCTCGCGACGAAGCGTACAAGTTACGCTTGGGGAATTAAGGCCCTTGCACAATGCTAGGCAACAGGCAATAGGAAAAAAGAATAAAAACTATTTACCAATAAAAACACGGAATAGAAAATATTCGCCAATAGGAGCAGAGAATAGATACTATTTCTGTTCTTATTGCCTGTTCTTATTGCCTGTTCTTATTGCCTGTTGTCTAGCAAGGGCCTTTACAGTGAGATCCCAGGTAGCACATATTTGTTTCAAAAACATTTCACAAATGTTTCTTCGAAACATTTCATAACCGACTCTTGGAAATGTTTCTGATTGGTTAAAATATCCACTTGAGAAACGTTAAGAGATACGATTCTTTTCTGTCGAGAAACGTTTAAAATACGTTTTTTTCTTTTATTCGTTAAACGTTTGTTTTCTCATGAAATTAATAAAATAATGCATTCATACACTCTTTAAAAGTGAACTAGTATATTATCACTAAAAACAGTAAATAGAGTAAATAATTACAGCAATTATAAGTTATTATATCACTGTAAATCAGTAATATTTCACTGAAAGAATTAATAATATTGATTGTTTTAATCAGTAACATTGGACTATAATAGAGATTAGATTTATCTATTCGTATAAAATTAAAAATTATATTTATATTTGTATGCATATTGAAGATGCATCTTAAATAGATAATGAACGGATCAATTTCATTTATTCGCCGGACATTTACTTGTCGGACTTATAAAATCGATTTAATATCTGAAGTTTCTCTATTGAGATTGTATCAAAAGTTAAATTGAAGTAATACTTTTATCTGTCGCCCTTTGCAAGCTTTATATAATTCTCTGATTAAAAATTAAATACGAGAGAAACAGCGCACCGTAGCGGTAAATGAACGAAGCGATTACTGATTTTACAGTGAAATTTTATTTTGTAATAAACGTGTGTGTGTAAAATGCACATATTGCATATATATATATATATTTTGTCAATAGCTGTGGAAATTGAAAAAGATATCTAGAGTGCAACTAATTAGCAGTAATAGCATTTTGCCAAGAATACAATTTAAAACTGATGACATGAATGCAGCAGAAGTAAAAACTCGAGAATTTGATGCTGAAAGTATGCGTTATTTGAGTTATCTGTTATATCCGCTAATCATTGTTGGTGCCGTCTATTCGCTTCTTTATCAACCGCATAAGAGGTAAACAATCGCTTTTATTTAAAATAATAACTTTTGTGTTAAATAAACCATTAATTTAAATTATATTGTATTATAGTTGGTATTCTTGGAGCATAAATTCTATGGTAAATGGCGTTTATGCATTCGGATTTCTCTTTATGCTGCCACAATTGTTTGTTAATTATAAATTGAAATCCGTGGCGCACCTGCCGTGGAGAGCATTCATGTACAAAGCATTTAACACGTTCATTGATGATGTGTTCGCTTTTATTATAACGATGCCAACAGCTCACAGAATAGCATGTTTCAGAGACGACGCTGTCTTTTTGATTTATTTGTATCAAAGATGGTAAACATTTTATGGTTTTATACATTTTGTTTATATATATATATATATCTGTGTGTATGTATGCATATGTGTACGTACGCATATATGAATCAGATTCGTCCAGATGACGGAAACGTAATGCGATACTGGACTGTTTAAGCTGAGCATCATTGAATGCAGAGATTGGTTAAAAAAGTAACAAAAGAGAATAAAAATTGCAAAGTGTAATTGCAAAATGTTTTAAGCTGTCTCTGCATATGCAAATATATATTTTTTTTCTTGCAACATTTTTCGACTGAAGCGACTTTTGGATTGCTTCGGGAACGGTTGACAATTTTTATAAACTTGTATTCAATTGCAAACATCAATTTACGTTTGAGATATCAACTTTTTAAGATTAAACAAAAAATAAATCTCAACTTCTTTTTTCCTGATTTCTATGGCAAACATAAATCGAAAAAATGCCTATTTTTCGTATCTCCTTTATGCCCAATTTTGTGACCTGAAGCAAAATTTATTTGGTACCTGAGGGTCTTTAAAAGAATTTCTCAAAAGGATCCAAATCCACTGAAGCCGAAAATTTAACTTCATTATTCTCTGTGGTCCAGCGACGCGCAGAACGCATTCCAATTCTCGTACGATCCTGATACATATATGCAGGTAATATTTTAAAGTATAAAAAAATTGGCAAATACACATTGTCCGCAGGTTATACCCAGTGGATAAATCGCGTATGGATACTGATACGATTACAGAAGAAACTATTGATCTCGTTAATAAGAAAATAAATTAACGATTCTTGTTGTTCATTGTCATCATTTTTCTTCGCGGCCTACTGGAGAAATTATGTAATTTCATGCATGACGCGCTATTACATGCCGATATTATTACAAACATTATATCGCTAATGTGTGAAAATTTCATTTATAATACATGGTTTTTGTTATAAAAAGAAAAAAATATATATTTTTTATAAATTTTTTATCATCATATCTGTTAACTTTTCAATTCTCTTACATTTGATTCGATAACAGATCTTGTGTGATTCGGGTAATCGGAATTAAATCATAATCGATACATCAGTATCTTGCCTCAGGCTTAACAGCAGAAGAAGGAGATTATGTAACGAGTAATATCTTGGAGAGATAGCAGAAAAAGTCAGTGTGCCGGCAGATAAAATAGTGCATTCCGACTCGTCATTCATACGCTTACTTAACAAGGTTGTATATCATCAAACTACTTCTAAATACAAGAGATTATAATTTACATCCGTGAGGGAAGCGTGCTATGAATATACTGTATCCTGTGAATCGTTTATAGCAATACAACTTGTGTAAGTCTATGAAAAACTGCACTTTGACTGTGTTCAAAATGCTTGTGACAATCAAGATTTTGGATCTCTTTTAAATCGATAATGCTAGTGATTTAACATATAATAATCCCAGAAGTCTTTTCGAATTAGATGCTGATATTCATTAGTATATATATATATATATATATATATATATATATATATATATATATTACACGTATATTATTTACATGTATATTAATTATATTTTTTTTAAATTTCATATATATATATATATATATATATATATATATATATACTCCTAATAGTGCAAGCCGAGATTACAAGCCGTGCGACGTGCGACGTTACACAATAAGCAATAGAGTGCATTATGTGCACTACACTGATTTTAATTATTCTCCCTATATGGATTTTTCTTTGGTTTAACAAACACATGAAAGGACAGCTCTCGCATTATCTTGGTATGACGTTTCTATTTTATATTTTGTGTGAATCTGTGTTGGAATAATAATAAAATCTACTTTTCTCATATAAAAAATAAGTTTTTGTTAATTTTGCGAAATAATACGATAATTGATTTAACAATGAATGTACGCTTATATTTAAAAATCACTGTTTTTTCCTTAGACATACAGTTTGTCTTAAAACGATGGTGGGCTCTCTGGTGTATCTCAAGGCAGAACAAAAACAAAAGTAAACTCAAATATGGTAAATTGTTCAATATAAACAAAATCTGGAAACCATACACGGATAACCCAAAGATTATTATCGATGAAAATGTTCGTAATGCATATTACAATATTCTCAAATATATTGCTTCATATATATATTCATATGTACACGCATGTTACAAATAAATTGTTGATTGTTTACTTTATATAGAGTTGTGATAGCATATCTTTCTGTGGTGCTGATCAGAAAGGTAATTTATTATTCATTAAAATGAATCATAGAGGACATCGCATAGTAGAATTAATCTTGCAATTAATCTTATCAGATGGCCGAATTTATATGCTACCTGGTAAGATTTGTTTAATATCATGTATTATTATTTAATGCATAATGGGGAATAAACTGACACATTTATTTGTGCAGATCATCCTGATAAAACTATGACGAAAGAGACAAATGAAAAATGGTCAGCATCGGGTTTAAAAATTGAATTATTAGAACCACGACAACGTTGGAGAATCACTTATAATGGTCTTCTTTGGAACCAGTGTCCAGGAGATACATCTAACGAAGACAATGTCGAACATATTCGCTTAAATTTCATGTGAGTAAAATTGCAAATATAGTTCTGTACAAATACTGCGAGAAAAGAATGATAAAAATTATATGAGAATGACCACCACATGATATTTTCTCATTTTTCAGATTTATAGGAAAGCCTCGATCATTAGAATGGCCAGATGACTGGAGTACTCATTTGCATGCAGATGCTTTAGCACGTGAGCCATGGAAAAGTCCCGACTGGATGCATAAAATGTAAGACTTTATATTAATATAATAATAATGTGAATCATGATTAATCGTGAATTATCATCTTGACAAAATGTTCATAGATTTTTCCTTTTCTTTCTGATGCTAAATTTTTTTCTTTTCTTTCCAATAGTAAATTAATAGATTATACAGGTTTCGATCAATGGGGATCCATTATTGGACAGATAACGTTTAAAGATTCAAGTATAAATGAACTGTATCTACGAGGACTTTGTCAGCGACGTTGGGGTAAACACGAATCTCATCAATTTCATCAAATCATCACATTTTTTGGTGTAACAAAGCATGGAGCGATGTATTATCTTGGTGTAAACGATACCAAATACAGTTTTTCACAGTAAGATGAACAAACTATTATATGGAATTAAAAAATGTCATGTATGTGTGTGTGTTTGCGTGTGTTGCGTGTGTATGAGGGCGTTATGGTTTTGATACTTTTATATATCTGCTAAATATATTTCATATATATTATTTAAAATATGAGGTGTTATCACAACGGGAATTTTATAAAAATAACGATGAATATTTTCTAATTAAAATAATATAAGAGTGAAAACTAAGTGTTAATGATACAAAATTTGTTGCAGCATGCAGTTTGGCCATCTTGAGGAAGCGGGAGGAAAGATATCTAAAATTGATTGGACCGATTTAAAATTAAGTGATTTTGAAAAAGAAAATGCTGTTCGTACGACCTACAAGATTGCGTTTACAGGTATATTTTGAAATATTTTTTGTCACAATATATGTATTACAAACGTATAATTTGACAGAACATTAATTTATATATACAACTGTATACAAGATGTATAAAAGTCTCGAAATCCTGAAATATATCTTAAAAAAATAAGTATTTCAAAAAAAATGTTCAATATAAAAATTGCAGCAAATATAAAGTAAATATAAATTATAAAGATTTTAAGTGCCGCATTACATCGCAATGTTAGTATGGTCTTTGATAACATCTGGAAAATCACTCAAAATTCAGCAGCTTTCATATTAAATATTTTTTTTCGAGAATGATTATTTTTCAAGATAATCAAGTTTCCAAAACTATACACTATATATTTACATATGAGAATAAATTATATATATATATTTGCATGATACTTTGTTTTTTTAAAGATTACAATTGAAGCCATTTCATCTTACAAAAAAAAAGGAAACAAAAAACTTATAAAAATTTTTTACTAAACTAAATTTACGAAGCTAAATTTAAATTTCATCCACTCGCTACCACATACACGCATACGCACGCATACTGCATTGGCTCAAAATTATATTAAGTTATTAACTAATGCCTTACAAACTAATTCTTACAGAAAATATATTTATGCAGGGTGTGTCATTTTAAGTGATGCAGCTGAATATTTCTTAAAGTAAAAGAGATTGGGAAAAATGTTTCAGACAATAGTTGTATGGTTTCGAGGGGGATATAAGACGGTGCCATTAGTTTGTCCTTGAAGAGTCAGCTGAAGGTCACGTGAAGGTTACCTCCAACTTTGTAAAAGGGACACCCTGTATGCTTTTGCATATTCTTGTAGCTCATCTCGAGAGCTTTCCAAACACTATAATTAAGTTAGTTTTCATTAAGTACTTTCCGAGTTATGAGGCTTGAAATCACTTCTTAATTTTACATAAACTGTAAAATATCTTGTAAAATATTCATTTTTCGATTATCTTACCTTAATACTTTTATGTACAAAATAATGAGAGAAATTTATTGATGTAAAGAAAACACATAATTATTTTTTTTTTTTTAATGTAATTGTTAATTGCAAATTACATTTTTTTTTTTCGAAACAATTATGTTTTCTTTGTCTGAAACATTTTTCCCAATCTCTTTTACTTTAAGAGATATTCAGCTGCATAACTTAAAATGACACACACTGTATATAATTATAAATTTTTTTAATTATTTTGTAACATTTTAATATTTACACGAATTTAGCGGCTGGAAAAAATTACGACGCCATCAACTACACAGTAGGCGATGCAATTACCTATTACAATGGTCCGTCTTGGGCATGTACAACTCGTAATCTGCATGTACAACTAAACGGCAGCGAAGGTATATATCGATATAATAACAACAAATCAAAAATCCAACTACATCAAATTGAGAAATTTATATTTCCTGGAAGAACAATCTTAAATCTTTATATTTAAGAAAACTGTATGAATGTATAGGTATTGGACTGATGATTGTGTGCTGCCCATGTACGAGAGCGACGCAAATCAAGAGAACAGACCTCCCTATCGACCTCCCAATCTACAGAATCCAATACTTGACACGAATTGACACATTTGCACAAAAAGATAGATACATCGTACATTTTGCTGATAAACAATGTCAAAATGAAAATATTGTCGGAGGAAAGGCATATTCTCTTGCAGTTTTGACATCTATTATTACCAATGATGTACATATTTTATAATGCATCTGAAAAGCGGAAAATTTATCATAATAAAAATATGAATTTTGTTTTGTAGTTTATAGTACCCCAAGGTTTCTGCGTAACGAGTTTCGCTCTGGAACAGCAATTGCATCATCACAAACAATTGCAGGAATTGATCAATGATATAGTAAACATTAGTCGTGGCAAAAAGAAGGAAGATCTCAAGACTTATTGTGAAAAGTATGCGTCTAATGTTTCTGCTTTTAAAAGTGATTATTATATTATATTACTTTGTGGTTATTATAATAATTGAATCGTCTTTGTTTCTCAGAACAGTGTCTAGTATTCGGACTACTCCTGTCGAAAAACAAATTGAACGAGCAATATTGGAGGGCTTGGAAGGATTGGAAAGGTCTGTAAATGGAAAAAATGTATGCAACTTGTATGCCGTAAGATCGAGCGCTGTTGGAGAGGACGGCGAGGAAACTTCGGCTGCTGGTCAAAACTCAACGTATTTAGGCGTGAAGAATGCGAATGACATTATCAATTGCGTTGCTAAATGCTGGGCAAGTCTATTCTCATATCAAAGCGTCGAGTACAGGTAATTAATTTATTTTTCTATCTCTCCCAGAGAGAGAGAGAGAGAGAAAGAGAGGAAGAGGAGACAAGGGAAGGAGAGTTTATTTATTTCATGATGGTAATTACATATATAGACGACAGAATGGACTACCGATAAAAGTATCCATGGGCGTTTGCATTCAGAGAATGATCGATGCGGAAGCGGCTGGCGTTATGTTTACTAGACATCCTACAACTGGTGATCCATCTAGCATTACTATCGCAGCGAATTACGGCTTGGGAGAGGTATATCTAATGAGATCTCAAAGATGCAATATATGAATATACTACTTCTCTGTATAGTATTTATTATATATATATATATATATATATATATATATATATATATATATATCAGGGCTAGATTTAGGGGGGCGGGGGGCAAGTCCAGGGGCCTCCACAAGAGGGGGGTCTCCACAACACAAATTTTTGTTTAAAATTTCCTATCGAATGGTATACAACACTTACAAGGTATATTGCTTGATCTTGTTATTTCGCAATAAATTATTTAAACAACGTAAAAATTTCTATTTGATTTTGGTTCAAAAATGGTTAGGCGTCTCCACCTTTTCGTTGCCCCAGGACCTCCACATCTTTAAATCCAGCTCTGATATATATATATATATATATATATATATATATATATATATATATACACGCGCGCGCGCGCGCACATACATACATACGCACGCGCACGCACACACACGTACTATTATTCACATCGCAAAAGTATATTAGTAATTTCATCTAAAATAATCGGACAAGATGTATAGTTGAAATACTTGTGTTGAATATTTTTTAGATTTATAATTCACTATAAATGACATGAAATAAAATGTCTTAATATTTATTGTTATAGACGGTAGTATCTGGGACGGTTGAGCCTGATACTCTGACGATTCATAGGAAATTGGACGACACTCTAGTAATAAGTGACTCGTTGGTAGGGAGCAAGAGACAGAAGTTATCACTGAAGGACGATGGTGTGACTGAATGCACTTTGAATGAACAGGAAACTATGAATATATCGATATCTGACGCGACCGCTCTGCGATTAGCTAAAATAGGATTGCATTTGGAATCGCTTTTTGGATCCGCTCGAGATGTGGAATGGGCGATTGTCGGCGAACAGATTTTTCTTTTGCAAGCACGACCCATCACTACCATTAACACATGGACAGACTTCGAATTAATGCACGAGTTAGACTCGCAGGTTCCTCCCGATGTCGATCTTATAACTTTTGCCAATGTCGGAGAAGTATTTCCACGTCCCATTAGTCCTTTGTCGAGCTCTACCATTATAAAAGTATTGAACTTGGCGATTGGCGCTAAATTCAATTGTGATTGCACGTATCTTCATTTGATTAATATGAGGTGCGCGATGAATTACTGCAACGTAAGTATTTGCACCTATGCATTTATATACATTTACAGAATAAGTAAACCGATTGATAATTTTTTTCCTTTCTTTCTTTTTAAGTCTGCTTTGCAAGATGTTGACAAAGAGATAACGATAGCGAATAAAATGGTAGATGTAGCTATATGCGGACGTGTAGTAATGACATCCGAAATACATCAGCTCGCGGTACAAAAGTACGGTATCGTAAGCGGATGGCGGAAAATGTATTTGATGTACGATATGTTTAAAACAATGTGGATGAGTGACGCGATAGTAAGGGCTGCGACCGACATGTCTAATAAATTTATTTTGAATGCTAACGAATTCGATACACCTCGTAACTTATACAATGATATAAATAAAAAGTACAAAGAAATCTATCTAGTAAGTTATCGCAATAAAAAAAAAATATCAAGTTTAACTACGAAAATATATGCATCATTATAATAAAATGTCATTATTTACGTATTTCAGATAGCGCAATGCCATAATATAGCGTCCATGATAAACGTCTCTTATCAGATGATAGCGATGTTGCTTTTAACAAAAGGAAGCGACAATTTTACGTCCAATCATCTTGCGGATATCGCTGTTTTGCTAAGTTCGTGTACCAATGTTATCAGCACCGAAGTACCAATAGCCCTGAGCAAAATAGCGGCGTGCATCAGAAAAAACTGCAAATCGGAAGAATTTAGTAAAATCGAGCCCGCGGAAGCTATAGATTGGTTGAAATTGAATTGTCCACCGGCCGCGGAAAAACTGTGTGCCTTCTTTGACATGCATGGTCACAGATGCGTTCAAGAATTAGATTTGTTCGCAGAACCTTGGATATTTAGATCTGATAGTATCATTAGTACGATTCAGGTATCTCATTAATAAAATATCGCATCGAGAAATAATTAAGAAATATTTCGATAAAGTTTGCATATAATATACCGTATCTATATTTAATGTACTATTTATACTGTTTTTAGACGCAAGCAATGTCTCCCGAAAAGAATTATGTGAGCAAAATGCTTAATGTACAGGAAACTATCGCGTCTTTAAAAACGCCCATGTCATCGTTCACTAAATGGCTCCTACAGCTTGTGATACCTCTTTGTCGAAAAGCTGTCACACGCAGAGAAATGACAAAAGACAGGATTGTATCTGCTGTGCATACATTGAGATTAGCTTATAAACATCTTGGTGTCTTGATGGTTGCAGAAAATTGCATACCTGATGAAAATCTCATTTTCTTTTTGACACACCAAGAGATCGGGCAACTCTTGAACAATCACAACTCGTTACTCGTGCGAAAGTGAGTTTAAATTTATTTATGATTATATTTCTAAAGTATATATTATACCATATCGTAATATTTTTTATTATATGGACAACTTTGTTTGAAATTTTTCAGAGCACTCCGTAGAAAAAAAATTTATCAGCAAGCAGTAAAATTGGAATATCCAGAATTTAGCGTTGGCATGCCTATACCAGTACAGGTTGTAATTATTTCCATTGTTCAATCTAAATATATTATCTAGATTCGCCAATCATTTTCTTACATGTATATATATATATATATATATATATATATATATATATATATATATATATATATATATAGTATTCCTGAGATTATTAATGTGTACCGTATCTCATTGTGCAGAAGACGCTCGACGCCTCATTTTACGAAGGATGTACAAAGATTGAAGGTACTTCAATTTGCGGTGGTTCATGGGTAGCTAGAGCATGCGTGATAACCGATCTATCCGAAGCAAAAAATATACAACATGGAGATATTTTGATCACACATTGCACCGACATTGGTTGGAGTCCGTACTTTCCATTATTGGGTGGAATTGTGACAGAATTGGGCGGTCTTATAAGCCATGGTGCCGTCGTAGCGAGAGAATACGGTCTTCCTTGTATTGTTGGCGCTAAAAGCGCAACGCAAGTGTTTCAGACAGGTTTGTACACATTTCTATATTACAATATAAGACAATCTACACAAAACTTAAGTCATTGTTATTATTATTATCCTTATCATAATCATCATTATCATTATTTTATTTATCAATCTGTATTAATGCAAATTTTTCTATTTAGGCGACACTGTATTATTAGCTGGAGATGTTGGCGTGTTACAATTAATTAAAAAAGTGAGCAATAATGAAAAATAGATAGATTTCCATTATTACATTGGGATTGCAAATATAACTTGGATAATATAGATTGTATTTGAAACATAATAAATATTCTGTCGAAAGAGAGAGGGAGAATGATAAAATTTTTTATATAAGAATATACAAGAGGTGAAAAATAAAATAAATGGCTTATTATAAATTAAAGCTTATTAACGCAATAAACGCAAGTATCATTCAACTGTATGGCGATAGGCTATATATAATATGCATATTTAAACGTAGCAATAGAAGTTTTAAATTAATTAATTATTGCTTACAATATACATCGTTGGATATTCTAGACGCCATAAATTACACAGTGGTAACACGCTCGGGATCCGCCGTCAAGTAACGAATATTCTCCGTTCCTTCATTGGCAAGACACGATAACTGTAGTCGCATGCAAGTTGTTACCTTTGATAGAAGAGCGTCTATTCGCATACGGTCTACGGTATTTACAGGCTGAGGTATCGCGTCCAAAGCTTCCTCGAAGAAACTTCTGTTTGCAAAAGTTATAGTTTGTTTGTTAAAGTTATAGTATAAATTCAACGCACAATTTTCAAAAATGAGGTAATTTCCGAATTTATAATATATACATATATATGTGTGTGTGTGTGTGTGTGTGTTGTGTGTGTGTGTTATAAATTCAGGAATTACTTCATATTTAAAAATTGTGCATTGAATATATGTGTGTATATATATCGTTTTTTACTTTGCTCTAGTTGTGCTATAAGCTTGCAAAGCGTTCCTCAAGAGTGTTATATCTGTCCGAGCTTGAATAATTCCAGCCGGTCGAAACTGCGTAACGCACGACATAAGTCGCGCGAGCTCTTCCGCTATAGTCTCTATTATGTGGGATAGAATTCGTTGTAATAGAGCTGGCGCAACTCTGCGCACCTGCGCGAGAAAAAGGATGTTCAAAATTTATACACACACACACACACACACATATATATATATATATGTCGAATTTTATTTGGGACATAACAATTTATTACCTCCGCGTGCACTGCGATTAAATTCGCCAATATTTCTTGAGCATACGGCTTTAGATGGGTTGGCTCTATATCAAAGTCCCACTCCAAGCCACCTAAATACATGCTAGGTTCTATTGTACCGACGAGCGGATCGCAACGGCGTTCTAGATACGCTTCCAGAACGGCGCTATCCAATGTCTCCATTTGCGTCCAATCGGAATTCCATCCAACTGCGGTGGATAATTCGGGATAACCTTGTGTTTTCAAGGCATCTTCGATTCTTGGTAAAACGATATTCAACGTGTATCGTATATTGCTTAACGAAATTAAAAGACATTGCTCCCATGTCTGCTCCATAAAAAAATTTACAAATATTATATGCAAAAGAAAAAATAATTCTGTTTTTATAAAAGTTGCAAGCATCTCGCGCCATTTACGCTACTTACTGGTCCTTTGTGTTTATTGGTTTTGCTTTTATAACCAGAAGGCGAGCCGATCAATTGCGAAACCGACGTTTCGTCATTGTCCTCGCAACCGCTAAATGCCAATTGTTCTAAACATCGCGTGAACGATGTGAATAACATTTTGACGGTATTGTGATAGAGAAGCTGGTGTGTCGGATTATTGAACAACGGCCCTTCTCTCGGGCCACAAGCAATTACTGTTTCACGCGCGTGTCTCGATATCTTCACGACTGTTTCCTCAAACAAGTACGGCTATTCATAGCACAAAACCATTACCATTTGGCGATAATATATAACGGGATATATAAATTTCTAATGAAAATAAAATTTATGGAAATTTTTAATTTTACCAATTTGGTAACACCACCGTCCTCATTCAAATATTCTATTTGCCACGTTTCCTCTCGATTCAAAGCTATTATATTATCTGCTCCTTGCTTGAAGAGAGCAATCAAACATTGTATCCTGTATAATATACAAAGAAAAAGATAGAGATATTTGGTTGTATAAGTAACGAAGAGAATTCAACTGAACTCTTAAATTGTGTAACTTGAAAATGTACCTTAAATTCAATATAAATGCCCCGAAAATGTCAAGAGCTTCGCTAGGCAAATCCAAATGTATCAGAGATGCGTACATTTGTCTGACGCAACGTAATATATGTAAAAGCCACTTTGCATCTACATCATGACTGCATATACTCTTGATGGCCTCCATGGCACGTTGCATGCTCGATAAAACTAAATTCTGTATGTCGTGTACAATAATGCATGTATCTTAGATATGGAAAAATAGAGACTAGAGACTAAAAACTAGAGAAATTCCAAAATTAAGCAACATTTGTACATGTTATGTTCCCTGATAATTAGAAATAAATTTAGACATAATGTATACGTACTTTAAAATGACCTTGCTTTTCCACATCTACCGCTACATGTAGCTGTCCTGTGAAATAACTCTGTCCCAATCTCCATAAGTCTGGCAATTGTTCAACCACGATATCGCAGATTGTTTCGATGCACGAGATTTGTGTTGGTGGGTTATTTCCATTAGTTTTCTCCAAGCGCAAATGCTTAATATTTAGCGAAATCGACTTGCATGTCTTGCTCGTATCCTCATAATTAACTGCGTCTAGATGCTCGGGTACAACATTGACAATACATTTTTCTAGATAATTTGCATGTGAAACTAGAAAAGAGAAGGAAGAGATTTGAAATTTTTTTTTAAATATAATTAATATGCATGTAAATAATATACGTGTAATATATATATATATATATATATATATATATATATATATATATATATAATTTGTTTCAAATGTACAAAATTTTTTAACATCAGTTTTAGATCATGCTTATTTTTTTTTGCACTTACGCACCTATCGCATCCCATGCCGGATCACCTTCGGCGTCGAGATTGACAAGATTTCTAATGATCTTCTTACGTTCCTCTAAACTGAATGACATCTCTTCTAATCTTTTCCGTAACAGCACTTTAAAATTATTAATTCTATCATCAATTTCTTCTAATACCTTTCTAAAAACATCCACCTCTGTATTTTTAAACAGATTCTTAACTCTGGCATAGTCATTAATTACGAGATCATAATTGCCACGTTTAATATTTCTCTCAATGTTTATTGGCATACAAAAGAGAAATTTATAACGTTGCATAACAGCCAGTGCATTACGAGTAGCATCAGCTCTGTCTCTTCTCGCTAACACATCGTCGAATAATTTATTAGCCTCTGACATAGACTGTCTGATGGCTTTTTCCAATTTCTCTGTAGGATCACTGCCATAACTCTTCATGTCTGCCTCAAACTGATCCTTTAATGACATTATTGTATCAAGTTGCTCCATTACTGCCCCTACATTGGCCTGTTAAATATTCAATTTTGGTTACATTGGTTGAATTAGGTTGATGAATTATGAAAATTTTCTTTTGAAATATCTCTTTTGAAAATTCTTTTATCAACAATCAATATCCTTTGCTCACTTTTAAAAATGACAACTGCCCTTCCTTTTGAGAGTTAACTTTTCTTCTAAGATAAGCCAAGCCAGCTTTTAAATCTTCCAAAGTTGTGGCATGATGATGCTGTAATAAAAACCATCCTGGATGAAATTTTTCACTCGTTAAATCTCCGCTTCCATCCCCAAAAAGTTCGGTCAATTCATCCTCGGGAAACTTTTTACTTCAAAATAAAATGCAACAAATTTATTTATTTATGAAATATTAACGACTTGTATTATATTATAGCAACTTAAATATTTACTCGTTTCCCTCTACACTAAGCCCCAAAGGATCTTCCTGTTGATAGTTTGTAGGTGACAATGCCCTTCTACCCCAACCTAAACTCTGCATAGGAGCTTCTTCTACCCATACAGCCGACTCCTTCATAGGACCTATAGTTTCATGATAACCACGAAACTGTACTGTCGAGGTTCCCTGCCCTCCGCTTCGTGTTGTGACTATTATATCGCCGCGACCTTTGCAAGGTCCTGACCTCGCTATAATTTTATTCGACGATTTCCATTCAGCCGAAAGTAGACAGTCACATCCACATATTGTCAATCCTAAAAAAATTTAAATAAACATATAAAACCAAACATTGATGTTTATGTGCACAACTTGGTATTTAAAGTACAATGCAATCTTAAAATTTATTCCAAGTAGTGAAATTTCGATTCTTCCTATTCAAATCTTCCTCAGATTGATTACTGATACACTCATATAGTTAATATAGTTCAAATATATAAATATCTTAGAAATAAAAAATACTTAAGAAATTATTGTATTATATCTTTTAGTTTTATTTATTGAAATATTATAATAGAATGACAAATAATTTTTATTATCTACTTTTGCATATCAGTAGTTTTTAGTTATTTTTTACATAAAATTAAAAAATATTTTATATACGCACGCAACACACATATGCACATATATTTATATATGTAATTTTTATATATATGAATACTTATATTTGAAAACTGTTTTTCCTTTTTTTAGATTTTGACAAAATTTAATAATTATTTACAAATGCCACTAACCTATAAGGTCTTGAGCTTTATTTCCTAAAAATTCTCCACGCATTATCACCCGAGTGCCGGGTGGGCCTTCTTTAGGCGATATTCCAGTGACCACGGGTGGCGGTCCCATCCTAGCAATAATGTTCTAAATTACAAAGAAAAACCATGCATCTCCCGCTGTCGATAATACGTCATAACGGCCATCACACACAAAATTCCATAAGCACGTAAAAGTAAGCGCAGTGATCCGAGTAGGGATTCCGTTCGCGCGCATGTGCGGCTCTGCACATGCGTGACTTTTGAAATTAAGGATACTTTCCGATTTAAGCCAGATCTACATTGGTCGTATCGTAACATCGCAAGTCGTAGGCAAATTGATCAATTATGGTTAATTATTTTTTAAATAATCGACTATGGTTGGTCAATCCGGCTTAATGCGGCGTCTACAATGAGATTTTAAGGAGACTTAAGGCGTAAGGGCTCTTGCACACAGGACGCTGCAACACTTGCCGCGCGGCGGAAGCCGACGCATAAGCCAATACAAAAGTTAAATTCAATTTTGACGCGCGGTAGATGTTAAGCTGGGTCTACAATGGCTGTAACATAAGGTTGTAAGGTTGTAAGCGAAATGAACCAAATCCATTTCCTATCAAATCCATTTCCTACCACTGTATGTTCTAGAGAACCTCTAGGAGAGAGAATGGACAACTGATCATGTGACATGTGATCAAGCTTTTTCATGATTGGCTGGCAGAAAATGTATCAATTTTAGCTATTGCGACGCCAATGCAAAATATGATACACACAAATAGGTTAATATATGTGTGTCATGTGTGTCCTATTTGTGTCATCATATTTTGCATTGGCGTCGCAATAGCTAAAATTGATACATTTTCTGCCAGCCAATCATGAAAAAGCTTGATCAGTTGTCCATTCTCTCTCCTAGAGGTTCTCTAGTATGTTCTACGGCGGACGCGCAATCAGAATTAAGAACGCAGGAATCTTCCGTGACTGCGTATGCGTGACCGCCGTAGAACGCACGAAATCCGTAGGAAATGGATTTGGTTCATTTTGCTTACAACCTTACAACCTTATGCTACGGCCATTGTAGACCCGGCTTTACGTATCTACTGGTTGGCTATCGCCCTTACCCCTCAGATTTCACTCCCCTCGTCTAAAAGAGTACTTTATGCTCTGTCCAGTATTTCTTACGTCCATGGTTCAGACTCAGTTTCAACTGTTTCAGCGTGACGCAAAATTCAAGTGTAATAATATGTAATTGTGGATCTGTTCTTTTTAGCTGCACTGTTACACTAGTGCAATTAGTTAGAGTGAGAGAAAGTATGTTTGTCTCGCATGTTTTGCCGCTACTTCTCCCTCCATTAAGACAAACGGCAAATTTAGTTACTAGATTCCCATTGCCGCTGGTTTCTAGCGTCAATGAAAAGGCCGCTTAAGGTGCGGCCTCATTGACGCTAAAAAGTAGCGTCAACCATTGGTTGAACAAGGAGGTAAGTATAGTTGCTTCATTGTTCAACCAATGGTTGACGCTACTTTTTAGCGTCAATGAGGCCGCACCTTTAAAGATGCGGCCTCATTGACGCTAAAAAGTAGCGTCAACCATTGGTTGAACAATGAAGCAACTATACTTACCTCCTTGTTCAACCAATAGTTGACGCTACTTTTTAGCGTCAATGAGGCCGCACCTTAAGACTTAAGAAATTGACCAATCACAATCGAATATTCTCTTAAGCCGGATCTACATTGGTCGTATCGTAACGTCGCAAGTCGTAGGCAAATTGACCAACCGTAATCGATTATTTCAAAAATAATCAACTATGGCCGGTATTCATAGTCCGATCTTATATTTGAGATCGTCTTAAGTTCGAGCTTGAAATGCTACGCAGCTATTTGATTGGTTGAAGGAGGTCTTAAGTCAATCTCGGACCAGACCTAAGACGATCTTAAATATAAGATCGGACTATGAATACCGGCCTATGATTGGTCAATTTGCTTATGACTTACGACTTGCGTCGTTACGATACGACCAATGTAGATCCGGCTTAAGTAGCAATCGAATATGATTGGTTTCTACTTTCAAGACCGATCAATCAGCGTCGGAAATTACGTCGAAAAATCTATCAGTAATGTTGCCCAACTGTTGAGTCCGCTGAATGCGGCCATTACAATCTCTGGGATGTGGGATAGTGGGATTATTGCATGTTTGACATTTCTCTGAGAGAGTGTGTTAGACTCAGTGCCAATTTTCGAGAGAGATAATCTGTCTAATTCCTTTTACCTGTATAATTTTTTTTAATACTCTGATGTATATATATATATATATTGATATCAGCTGATTTTACAGTTTATTTAGTGGAGCTTTTTAAAATTTTTTTAAGCTCATACATTGTATGACACATATATATATATATAGAGAAATAAAACGTATATAGTTAAAAAAAATATAGAAAATATATGTATAGCATGTTATGTATGTACATATACATTTGCCATTACGAAGAAAAAATAATTTAATGCAAAAAAGGAAGAGGACGAAAGTTTTCAAAGACACACACAGTTGTAATGTCTTATCAAGAATTAACATGTATAAATCTATAAAAAAGACTACATGATTTAATGGTAGATGAAATGTTATAAAGAGACAAAGAGAGAGAATAAGACAGCCAGAAAGGATCAGAGTATGTATTGTGGAAAATTAAATCTATTACATAAAATTATCATTGATAAAGCTATCAAAATTGTATAATTAAGTAACTTGAAAATACAGGTTGAGATGGAAATTTTGTTTACAGATAAATTTATTAAGTGCACTGTACATAATATTTAAAATGCCAAGTTCATATTTATATGCTATTAATAACGAAGGGCGTGTGTTTGGATTGTCGACATCTGGGAATATGTGGCGTGAATTTATGTATCTAGGACTTGAATTTAAACAATTATCAGCTGTGCCACATTTTATGTGGGCGATTGGCGGCGATCGGCAAGTTTATGTTCACGTTCATGGTTTAGACGTACCAATCAGAATTAAGGAGGAAACTTATGAGAATGAGGTATAGATTTATACAAGTATTATGTCACTCTATCGACCGAATTATAAGCTCTACTCTAAACAAGTATACAAATTACAAACAAAGAAATAAAAAATTGTTAATAATATATTCTAGCGATGGTTGCCTTTGGAAGGTTTCTCCGGAAGGTTACTTCCAACTGACAGATATAATTTTTCAAATCAAGATGGTACAGTCAATCGTAGCAGAGACAAAGTAAAGTTACCATCAATGGCATGGCAATGGGAAGGTGATTGGCAGATAGAAACTACGTTAGATGGCCAACCATTAGATCACGATGTAAATATTCTCATCTATTCAATGCCGTCTATTTTTAAATATTCTTCTTTTCTATCCATATTTGAAAAATCTAATAACATATATGAAATACATGTTAGGTTATTCCATTGTAAAACGATCTGTTAATCATTTTGGATCATTGATGTATACAATTAAACATTATTATATAGAGTATATTTTTTCAATATAATATTTTTGTAATGCAAAAAACTCGATCGTTTTTGAATAAGAAAAATCATCCCGTTTATATTTCTCGATAATTTTCTATTGATTTCTCAAATAAAATAGGCTTATACAAGTGCATTTTTTTAATATTCCATGCATACCAAGGATACAGGTCTTTTGTAACTTTTATTTAAATCTGTATGAAATTACACATTTGTTATATACTTGTGTTTCTTCCATACGAGTCATGTCTTTTTCATAAAGTTTTATTTATGTATAGATGTGTTATCAGTTGCCCACGACGAAAGAGAATCTTATGATCACAGAGAATCTGATATTTTGATAGGGATGGACATACGCAATTGATTTTCCAGCTACGTATACTACAAAAAAGCAGTGGAAATCCTGCGTAAGAAGACGCAAATGGGTTCGTTATCGGAGATATAGCGCTATGAATTCCTGGTGCGCTATTGCACCTCTTCATAAAGATCCAACCAAGGTGATAAAACGTTAACATGAATCTTTTCATATGTGATAGCACTTTTAATTGTGTAATTTAATTAAATAAAATATATTACACATCTTTAGGAACCTTTTATCGATGTCGCTGTGGGTGGACATCAAATGCCTGGAGGTAGCTCTGGAAGCTTAGTAGTCTGGGCGGTAACTGCCCACGGAAGGGTATAATTTTTAAAACAACTTGCTTCCAAAGAGCATATATATATATATATATATATATATATATATATATATATATATACAAACAATTTTATTATATTTCAAAACTAAATTATTACATCATGTTATTTAGGTAATGTTTCGTGTTGGGACTAGTACAACTTGTCCTGAAGGACAAAGATGGAGCTGTATTAAATTAGCAAATGGCTATGAAGTTTGTCAAATTAGTGTTGGAGTAACTGGTCTTGTTTGGGCTGTACTTACAGTGGGCAAAGCACTGATACGTACAGGCATAACGAGAGACAATCCAATGGGTAAATAAGCAAACGTGATTACAGGATATAGTTATGTATTGGCACAGTGGATATATGTGTTATAGGTGAAGATTGGTCAGAAGTGGAATCACCGGAAAAGGACTTGAGATTGGTACAAGTTAGTGTTGGCACTGATGCTGTATGGGCTGTAACGCACGATGGTGGAGTATGGTTCCGAAAGGGTATTCAAGGCGAAATAAGTGGCGTTTGCGAACAATTGGCTACTGGTACCGGTTGGGTTGAAATGTTGAGCAAAATGGCACTAGTATCTGTTGCTCCAAACGATCAAGTAATAATTTTAATTCTTTATTTGTGTGACAAAGAAATATTGTATATTGGATATTCATGTGCGTGCGTGCGTGCGTGCGTGCATACATGGATATTTCTTTTTCTGTTTACACATACAAATGCAGACATGCGTGGTTTTTATGTATTGTAAAGGTTTGGGCTATTGGCTATGACGATCGATGTTTGTATTATCGTACTGGTATCGCACGCTCCGAATTAACGGGAAAACGGTGGAAATTAATAAACGCACCACTTCAATTGAGTAGAGCAAGTAGTAGCGCCAGTTTATCATCTAGCAACAGGCATAGCACTTGCGGCACGCCACAACAGCAACGTCATCAGAGTTGGAGTTCCTTGGTAAGAAAAACATTTGTGCTCTCCATGTTATATATATGTCATTATATCTATGATGTAATAAAATAACCGATAAATGACATTTAATTTGGATCATGTTTTTATAGAATCGGCCTCATAGTACTGGTGAAGGTACAATGTTAATTAGAGAATGGGAAGAGCAGTCACGGTCGGCACCGACTCCCACGTCTTTAAAATTGTGGCAACGTACCGGGGACAGTGCACCCACGAAAAATATTCAACAAACGTCTTTTCAAGATATATATTTAAATGAAGAGAAGAAGAGGTAAAAGCGTGCAATCATTTACAATTATAGAAATATATTAATATAGCAAAAGTAGTATAATATATAATGGTAACGATAAAAATTTTAATATATTTTTGTATATTAATCTCTAATTATTTAATTTTTCTTTTATATATAATTTTTCAATATTGTAGATCTACAAGTTCTATAGATGCAGGTGATTTAAATGAAGCGAGTGTTGCTAGTATAACTATATCTAATGAATCTTTAGCAAAAAGCGGAGAATCAATAATCGTCTCGGGAAAAGGAATGAGCAGTACTGTTAAGGTTAAAATATTTTTAGAATCGAATAAAGTATATATTGATTAAAAATGTATAATATATAATGTATAGTGAAATATTATAAATAAGAAAATAAAGAGATTATATAATAAATTGTCTATCTCTCAACAGATTAATCCTGCTGCTTGGAGCCCTGTTCATTCTGTCGGTTCTATGGTTGGTGTTGAGGCACATCCAGAAACAGATGGAAGTGTATTTGATCCAGATTTAACTGATTCTGGTGTGTATGGTGAAGACGAAAGCGCAGGCATAATATATTGGACCGAGTGCGACGTGCTATGGTACAAGGTGGAAGCTGGGGCATGCTTTGTCGATCCAACAAATCCACCAAAATGGTAAAACTATATTTTTATTCTCATGCAGACACACACACACATAAATGTTCTTTTTTTTTTTTTCAATAAGATCGATAAAGATTTAAAAAATAATTGGTGGTAATTTTGTTTTAATTGAATAAATTGAATAATTATTTCAATTGAATAGGATCGCAGATGGTAACGGTACAATACAAGGGGAAACTGCAGAGTTATGGAGAATATGTATTTTGGATGAATTAAAGGCGAGATTAAAGAAAATGTCATTTGATTCCTCAGTGATATATGAGAAAGCGGTTGAAAAGTAAGCTGAATTAAGTGTGATATTGATTAAATGTACAATCTTTAATTAAAATGTTTATTTTATTCAATTATTAAATTACTATAGATTATCTTGGGTGAAAAGTGGCGATGCTAAATGTAAAATTAAACACGGCAGTTTATATGAAGATTGTAAGATTGAACTAGAATGGATAAGTAGCGATACTGGATCATTAGATTCTGGGACCTTAATAATATTAAATTCGGACGGCATAACAAGCATAGTACGTTGATAGAAATTAAAAATAAATTTATAAATTTATGTAATACATAAAATTCTAGACATTACAACATTTTCATATAAATAATAATGTTGCAGATACAATTTCCCATTTCGGAAATTACGTGTGTCGTTTGCTGTAGCGAACCAGGTAATCCAAGAATAGCAGTTTATACTCCTAAATTAAGACGTTCGAAAGTAATTAGATTACAATTTGCAAGTGATACAGAAATGGAAGATTGGTTGGCGCATTTAACTTTAGGTAAGGGCATTGTTATCTAACAACAAGTGATAATAAATGAAGAAAGATGTGCAAAGATATTTTTGCTTTCTCTTATTTTTTCAGTGTCTTGCCAAATGAATAATGTATATGGTAGGCCTGGTCCAAATTCTATTTGGAGCACTACTGCATTAGGTGACGTGTATGTATTTGATCCTGCAATTGCAGAGGTAAAGTCTAAGATATGTTTACAAATATCAGCATGTATCAAATAGGAAGAATCACCCTTTGTTATTCTATTTTTGTTATGTTTAAGGAATGTCAATTATCTAAAGACGGATATATACAAGAAATTGATGTAACTGGTAAAGACATGCCATTTGAAAGTATATTACAGAATGGTTTTGGATATGGTAGTACTCTAAAAATTACAGTATGTATTCATGACGACGCTGACAGGTAAATCAAACAGCTACATTTTTCATGTGTGTTCTATATAGAAAGGCTATAAGATTTACACATACTAACATTTTAACATAATAATAACTTTATTTCTCAGATTGTCTTTTAATCTCGTCTGTTATACCACAACATTTGTGAAGCAAAAGACTATAATGGATAGTCATGATGTAGCTTTGCATTTTAATCCAAGACTCAAAGAAAATATTATTGTACGGAATACATATCAAAATGGTCAATGGGGAGATGAGGAAAGAAATGGGGATAGTCCGTTAAAGGCGGGTTGTGATCTAACGTTATATATTATTTGTGAAGAACGCGGTTATAAAATCTACATTAATGGTAGCGAATATACCTTTTATAGTCATCGAATATCTCCGCAAAGTATTACACATTTGCGTATTAAAGGATTATTAACTTTATGTAATATTACATACAAATCCCCATTTGTAAGTAGAGTGTTTTATTATGATGATTGTGTCGTTCATTATCTGTATGATTGATGAATATTTTGCTCCACAGGTAATTATAGAACCTAGCACAATGTTTTGGAGACAGATTGGTGGACATTTAAAAAAAGTTGAAACATGTTCCGTAGGCGTCACTTGGGGCATTGGCTACGATAGTACCGCTTGGGTATATACAGGTGGTTGGGGAGGCACATTTCTTAAAGGTATTTTATTATTTTTTTATGATGAAAATATATTTTGCATAAGAAAAGAAGAGAAAACGATTATGAAATTATTTCAAGACTGATAGAGAATACAATAATTATGTAATTCAAGTTAAATTTCCATTTCCATTTCTTGGCACAAAGCGTTAATGTCGAAAAATGTTATAGGTCTAGGAATTAGCAATACTGGAATAAATACGATGGTAGATACCCATAATTATTACGTATACGAAAATCAACGCTGGAATCCAGTAACTGGATATACCGCGCATGGACTTCCAACAGATCGCTACATGTGGAGCGATGCAACTGGACGCCACAAACGTACGCGAGAGCATACAAAATTATTGTCGATGCACTGGCATTGGGTAAGTGGAAATGGAGAAAGGAAAAGATCTTTGAAGTTTGAAAGTAAGAGAGGACTGTATAGAGTTTCTTGCGTGTTGTCCTTGATATGAAAAATGTGATACAATAATATTCACTACTGTAACATTTTGCTTTTTTTATTCTATGGTCTCTATTGATATTTTAAAGATATCAGATTGGATTGTCGACTTTCATACACCTGGTGGCGTTGATAGAGATGGGTGGCAATACGCTACTGATTTCCCGGCACAATATCACGGTAAAAAACAGTTTACCGATTACGTTCGAAGAAGACGATGGTTTAGAAGATGTCAACTAACAACCAGCGGACCCTGGCAAGAATTAGGGAATACGAAACTCGTTGATGTCTCTTTATATGTATGTGTCTTTAACCCCGTCTTTTAACTTTAAATTTTTAAAAAAGGACGCATCTTAAATATTTCTTGATTAATTAGGCGACTGGAAAGCCTGGCACAGATGCTCCTATTCATGTCTGGGCAGTTGCCGCAAACGGTGAGGCTTTATTCAGACGAGGTGTTTCGGAATCTTGTCCAATGGTATGATCACTTAAACTATATTTATGCAATAGGATGTGCGCGGGCGTGCGTGCGTGCGTATGTGTGTATGTGTGATATTAAAGCAGTAAGTATAGCAAGTAGGCATACCTTTTAACAATTTTTTTTAAATATATGTTAAAGGGTATATCATGGGAACATATACCAAGTGACCAGCCTCTAATTAATATATCGTGTGGCCCATGTGGACAAGTATGGGCTGTTGGTAAAAACGGATCCTCTTGTTGGAGACTAGGCATCAGTGCTACAAAACCGACTGGTAAAATTTACAAATTACTATCATCAGAATTCATACATTATACATTACACATTCTTTTAACAAATTGTGCAATAATTTATGTTTAATATAAATTGTCTTTCTATCCCTTTTTCCCTTCCATCCCTTTCCATTTTCTTAATTTTTTCTCTTCTTCCCTCACTTTCTGCTATTTTCCATTCTCTTATTTTTCTCCCTTTTTACCTCTGCCCTCCTTTGCTCTTTCTTTCTCTTTCTCTCTCACTCTCTCATTCATTCATTCATTCATTTTTTTCATTTTTAAGGTTATTTTGTTGATAATAAAGTTGATAAATATAGGTTTGCAATGGCAGACTGTCGAACCTCCTTCAGGAGCCCAATTAAAGCAAATTTCAGTAGGACGTGATGTAGTATGGGCTTTAGATACGAATGGTAGATTATCAGTACGCCGAGAGATACAATCTAATGTTTTCCCTGAAGGAACCTATTGGCAAACTTTACCTGCTATGCCAAACGACCCTATTCATATAGGTATACAAATTATTTTCTTGCAAATTTATTGCATATCATCAACAAATTATATCTTCAAAAATTACATTAAATTAAATTACATGTTTGTAGATATGTCGGTATTAAATGCGAAACAAGGATTCCGACATGTATCCATTTCGAGGGAACAGGGACAAGTTTGGGCAATTTCAGGAGCTGGTATTATCTGTCGAAGAATTGGAATTACTGATGAAAATTCAGCTGGAACTGGATGGGTAACCGGTATAGGGGTAAGTAGGGGTAACAAAAATTTTTTAAAAATTATAATAATTTTAAACACAAGGAGATTGGTCCATATATATAAAAGTATACGTTCAGTATAGAATACAATTATGTTTAATATAATAATTTTTAATAAATAAAAATACATTTTCTTAATATTGCGAGTAATAGTGCTAAAGATAATATCACTTGCCTTATTTTAAAATATATATATTGATAATATATAAAAGAATCATTTTTTAATTCTATTATTTTCTCTCATTATATCATACATAAAAGCTCTCATTAAGAATAAATAAATTTCTCAATTAAGAATAAATAAAATTTTGATTTATTCCTAACAGGCAAACTGGCAACATATAAGTCTCGGAGGTCTTATAAATAAAACAAAGTGATATCTGTACTGCACGATAAAATTGATATGAATATACTATAACATAAAACATAATAATTTTGTGATTATCTTGTAAAATATGGTATCATGTGTGTGTATGTATACTTGTTTATTATGCAGAAATGTCTTGTGACAATTTTTAGACAGTAATTATATCTATAATTATGAATTGTGTATTACATACTTGACACTGATTATTAGAAACTTTTGCCTCAATACAAAAGATATTCTTTAAAGAAATTGAAATGAATAAAATAATTTATGACACACATATACACACGTACAAAAAACACACATATACACACAAAATACACATATAAAGAGGATTTAATTGATAAACAACTGTAACTTGTAATATTATCATTACCGTTATCATTACAGTCATTTCTTTTCGGCAATTGTGATAATAATGATGTAAAATTTTTGTGTGTAATGACAAAAATAACTAATACATCTTTTTCACAAATTCAACACTTTACTTTTAGAAACTATTTGCATAGCACAATTTTACATGCAAACAAATACACATAAAGAGCATTAATTTTTTAAATTAATAAATAAACATATTAATAATCAATAATTTTATTTTAAGCCAGATTGTGTAATTTTCTAAACTTTACATGTTAAAAATAAATTTGACTTTGTGAATTAATATATTATGTTAGAATTTTGAAATTGTGTAAATTAAAAATACAAAGAAAAGATATTATGATCATATTTACAAAGATATTATTACCATATTTACGAATCTTAATAAAAGATAAGATTGAGACCTTTTTTTATTTACAAAATTTGGAGATGTTTAGTGAGAATGTTAGCAATGCTTTTTCTTATTCAGATAAAAGTTTTTTTCTTATTAAGATATGATTAAGACTCTAAGTTATTATCAAAATTATATCTCTCGATAGTGATATCAGTATTGAAATTATATTACTTTTATTAAATTTTTATATAAAAAAATGTTTCAAAAATGTAAACTTTATGTATGTACGTAAATGTGTGTTGTTTATATAACTTGGCCTTGTAATAACATCAGAAAAAGTAATAGACATTGTAACAATAAGTTACTTTTTAAATAGTATCGAATTTCTTTTATAAAATAACTTTTACAATTCTACATACATACATACATACATAGACACATACACGACACACTCATCTATATCATTTAAATGAAATTTTCTAAATTTTATTTGCATTAATATGCGCTTTACACGATAATGATTATATTCCATAATGAGAATATTTTATTATTTTTCTTGAGATGTGAAAAATAATAAACAAATAATTAATATCTCTGACTGTAGTAGGATATAGCAAAACAATATACACACACATACACGAGTATAATAAAAATAAAAATGATTATTTTGTAATGCAGACATTCCAGTTACGACATCGTGACAAATTCAAATAATATCTAAAAGCTCTTCATTAATTTTTATGCTTAAAAAAATTCATATAGAGCCATAACTATTGATTATAATCAATGTAATCGGTGTTACAATCTCTTTATGACATCAACTTTTTGATTTACTACAATTTACTACAATTTATTTACTATATTTTACTTGCTACATATAATTATAATATTTAATACGTTGCAAAGATAGAGATTAAATGATAATGCGTTATGTAACATAAAGCTTTATTTAAGAAAAATTATTAATTAATTATATACACAATTATATTACAATTATATATACAATTATATTACAATTATATATACAATTATATTATATTGACATTCCAATTATATTGTATATGTATCGAATCATTCACATCATTTCGTATTAACGCATTTGTTTCCTACTTTGCCAATGTAAAGAGCACGAGATATTTCTATTTTATAAATAAATATCACATAATATGAAATGCACTTTTTTATTATGTAATACTATTTAATACTATTATTTGTGATTGTTAATGATGTATCATTTTCACAATGTATTATAAAATACATAAATACTATTATATTTAATACTATTATATATTTTGTTATTGTTATGAAAATACAGACATTCTTTATATAAATATTTACAGATATCGAATGATAAATACATTAGGTACGTTCAATTGAAATGTTGACTAGGTTTGAATGTACTCAATATAATTAAAAAATTAAAAAAAGAAGACATTTAATTACAATCTTGGTGGAAAAATAATTTTGAAAAACAATAACTGAAAGAGAGAGAGAGAGAGAAAACTAATATATATTTCATGATCCTCTTTTTCTAATTTACTATTATATTACAATATAATAGTATAATATAACACATTTGATGATTAAATGATGTTACTGTTTTAATTTTTTTTTTTTTTTTTTTTTTTTTTTTTATTTTCTTTTTCCTATTATATAAATATCTAATATAATGACTTTTATATGTATCTATTTATATTTTTGTTTTAATATGTATCATTTCACAATGTATTATAAAAATACATAAATACTATTATATTTAATACTATTATATATTTTGTTATTGTTATGAAAATACAGACATTCTTTATATAAATATTTACAGATATCGAATGATAAATACATTAGGTACGTTCAATTGAAATGTTGACTAGGTTTGAATGTACTCAATATAATTAAAAAATTAAAAAAAGAAGACATTTAATTACAATCTTGGTGGAAAAAATAATTTTGAAAAACAATAACTGAAAGAGAGAGAGAGAGAGAAAACTAATATATATTTCATGATCCTCTTTTTCTAATTTACTATTATATTACAATATAATAGTATAATATAACACATTTGATGATTAAAATGATGTTACTGTTTTAAATTTTTCCATGTACGTCTGTTGTAATTTCTTGCTTTCTCTCTCTTTATTCCTTTTTCCTTGCTCACTGTGATTAATTCCGTAAAAACCATAGATGCATAATCCTATAAGAAAGAAAAGAAGTGAAAATTTAATATTTGCTTAAGTAAATTTAGATTAATTCTGTCTTTGAGTTACATAATTTTTTACACAGTACTTACCAATTAGCAACCAAGTGGCAAATCTAATCCATGTAAAGACGTCTAATTGGAACATTAAATATATGTTTATAAAAATACTGAGACAGGGAATAAGTGGAACGAGAGGTACCTATACATATATATAGAAATATATTAAATTGTGAAATATGTTAAATTGCGTGCGTGTGTATGAGAAAAAGATATATTTTCAAAAGAGTTTGCTATATATATATATATATATATATATATATATATATATATATATTGTATATAAAATATGCCAAATAATTGTACTTTCGACATGTGTCTTTTTCTTACCTTGAAAGACAATTCAATCTTTTGTACCGGTTGCCTACCAATCGCGGCTAAATTCAAGAATAGAACGATCACAAATACAACTAGTGTCACAGATATTATCACATTTCCTGCGAGCAGGTATGCGCTCATGTTACTAATCAGAAATGTGATGATGCATATAATGATACCTGTAACAGTGAGACCTTACAAATTACGAATGATTGCTAGAATTCAATACATGTCTATAAACATTATGTTTATCACACATTTCAATGTATTCTATAATATATGTGTGCCTGTGTGTATATTATAGAATATATATACAATATCAATCTGCATAAACTTACAAAGTAAAGCGATGCCGATATTTGCAATTTTATTGGAAAGTTCCGTAGGTTCCTTCTGATTATGCAAATTAAATAATTCCTTAAATATATTTATAGATGTAAATTGATATTCACTCATTAGTGGTATAGCAGAAGCGTTGCTAGAGTTTGTATCTTTTCGATATCTGCAAAAAAAAGGCACTCTTATACCTATTATATGAATATTTTCTATAAAATATTAATCTCGCTCGAGACATTTACAAACGCGCGCGCGCGAACCGTTACCTTAATATTAAAACACATATCGCTACTATTGTATATGCGAGTAAAGTCCCGATAGACATCATATCGATCAATTGCTGCAAATTGAAGACAAGTGTCATAAGACCTAAAACATAGAGAGGAGTTTTATTAACAAAGTTATTAACAACATTATTGAAAATTAAATTAACAAGGATAGGTTTTTACTAACCACTAAGTAAACCAGAGAGCAACGTGCCATATACAGGCGTCATAGTTTTAGAATTCACTTTGGAGAGAATCTTGAATATTATGCCATCATTTGCCATGGCATATAATACACGTGGTAATGGAAACATAGCGCCCAAAAGACTAGTACATAGCGCGAATACCGCACCTACATTAACGATCCATTTAATGATGGGCCATCCGATCTCATCGAACGCATGTGGAAACGGCGCGTTCGCATTCTAAACAAGTTTTCAGCCTTTGTATACTCGTGTATTTAAACGATTCTCTCTAATTTTTCTAATTATATAAAGTTTTGCGTTATTTATAAATCGTACTTGAGCGTAATAAGGTAGCATCATTGTAAGAACCGTGGAAATACCAAAATACGCTATGAATATAATAATTAGGGATAATATAATCGCTAGAGGAATATGACGTTCAGGGCTCTTTGCTTCTTCGCCAGTGGTAGCGACGGCATCGAAACCGACAAATCCGTAAAAACATTTGGCCGCTCCAACCATCACTCCGCTGATACCGAACGGCATAAATCCACCGGTCCCGCCGTTTTTCACGGAATTTGGGATATCCTCGGGTGCAATGGACCAGTATGACGAATTCGCTATAAACACATTTAACGTTTAATTATACGCGTGATTGAGAGAATTATCTTCAAAATTAGGGATACGCGAAACATTTGAAAAAAGATATATTTTAAACAAAACTTTACAACATTATCACGTACAATATTTCAGCGATTTGAAACACACTCTCTCTCCCCCCCCCTCTTCCTCCTCTTTCTCCTCCTCCTCTCCCTCTCTCCTCGTGTAAAGGATGTAAAAGATTAAAAATCTGAGATGTAGAGATGTGACTCAACTCTCTCTTATCGGCTTACCTTTAATCGACCCTGCGATAATAACAATTATGATCGTTATTATGTTTACAACGGTAAATGTATTGTTCAAGATCGATGATTCCCTTACTCCTATGCACAATAGTATTACTAGTAGCATGACCATTCCAAAAGCGAAAAAATCAGGATACTCTGACAGAAAGGAGACATTTATGGGCATAAGAGAACGCAGAGTATTACCCATGACATTTCCTATCAATACATCGATATAATTACTTAGTCCACGAGCAGCGCTCGCTGTACCTGTGAAAATTTATTATTCCGTGATATATATATATATATATATATATATATATATATATATATGTATATCGTACATTGTATGTAAATAAATCGGCTTTTTTATTTCACCCGTACACTCACCAATTACATATTCTAAAATCAAATTCCATCCTATCACGAAAGCGATAAACTCTCCTACTGTTACATAACTATAAACATATGCCGAACCGGCTTTCGGTACTCGCGATGCAAATTCTGCATAGCACATACCTATAACATATACTCATGTATATGCATGTAAAACACATAACGTATGTTATAAACGCATTTGGTATACATATATTGTCTACAACTACGCCAATGTTCGACATTTCAAACTTTGGCAAACAAATTTTTCGAGCAAATTCTCATATCCTCCGATTACAAACTTGGTTTTTTAAAGTGACAACTTGTTGCCGGGAGAGTAATTCTTTTATCGATATTATATATATATGTACAGGGCTTGTTATGTGATTATGTATTTGAGATATCAAATGCAAATTTGACATCAATTTGCGCATTACAATGTATTTCATTTCATTTCATCATAGAGATCAAATGTAATTTATTAATATCGTAAGGGGTAGCTTAGAATCTCGCCATCTCGCTTCTTTGCATCTATTATTGATTGTTTACAAAGTGCAAGACTAAAAGATTTCAAAGTGGCTATTGTTTCAGAGCATATTCTACATATTATACACATAAATGCTAAAGTTTATTATATATATATATATATATATATATATATATATATAATAAACTGCAAATAAACTCAAATATATCATCACATAACAAGTCCTGTACATATATATAATATCGATAAAAGAATTACTCTCCCGGCAACAAGTTGTCACTTTAAAAAACCAAGTTTGTAATCGGAGGACATGAGAATTTGCTTGAAAAATTTGTTTGCCAAAGTTTGAAATGTCGAACATTGGTGTAGTTGTAGACAATATATATATATATATATATATATATATATATATATATATATCTTTTTTTTCCCAAACAATTGTAAGACATTCTTTTTTACCTGCGAAAGCAGACGCGATGGCGGCTATGAGAAAAGAGATACAAACGGCAGGTCCAGCAGTGTCTTTGGCTACGCTTCCGGCAAGAACGTAAACTCCTAAACCAAGAGTCGCACCTACGCCGAGTGCGGTCAAGTCAAATAGACCAAGGACCCGTGCCAATTGCTCGTTGCCTTTTACTTCTCTATTCTCTTCTTCTATGCGCTTTCGCGACAACGTTTTCCATAACCGGCTCGTCATATCGACGTCGATTTCTTTTTCACCTGCGTACATTATTATTTTCACATATCAGTCGAATGTTGTAAAAATTATTATTTCCAAATTACTATCTTATAATAGTAATAAATATATGACACAGTGTATACAGTATATAAATGATCATGTACAAAGTGAATATATATGAATATAAGAGAATAATGATATATAATGTGCACGCACGCATACGCTCACACACATACTTGTTCGCACACAGATGTATGAGTGACTTTTTCTCTTTTTTTACATTGCTATCTTATGAATAATTCAAGAAACTCGACATTTCTAACAAGAATTCTTGCAAAACTACGTTCTTGCAAAATGATGTTGTGCAACAACAGCAATTCAAATTTTTTTTTAATCAAAGAGACGAAGGACGAGAAGATAATTAAAGAATATATTTTTCACCGAACTTGAAAAAAATATTCTTTTTTCGCTTAATAATATTTTATATGTGCAATAGCAAAAAAAACTTATGTCGAGATATTCCATTTATTATAGCTTCTATAATTAGACAAGAAATTTATTAATAAAATATATCAAGTAGTCACAGAAATTGAGAACGTAAAAAACAATTTAAAAATATTAATCTATAAATCTCAATTTTTGTCAAAGTAGTAATCAAATCACGTGCAAATTAAACGTTGTTGCCATTTGCGCAACAGCCGACCTTGATGTTGCTTTCTCTCCGTTTATTTTTTGTCCGTTCGTTCATCATTTTTTTCGCTCGAAACTTGATGTATTTAATAAATCAAGTTTTATATATATATATAATTTGATATTTCTACAACAATATAAGTAGAAAACTATTATACAGTATATAAAAATTATAATTATTAAAATTAATAATTATAAAAATTATATAAAGCTTATATAAACAGACCGAAGCTCTGAACAATATTCAAGCGATATTTATGATAATGATCCGAGCCTGGAAATTTAATTTCGACAACGGAAAGTTTATCTTGGGAATAATTTAATTTATCATATTGTGCTTTCAACAAACACAATACGATCCTTTCTTACAATGCACGAAATCTTATCTTTTTATAGCGGTAAATGTTGTAAAAGTATAATCTTATTATTAGTCATTGTACGATACAAGCATTTTATCAAACTTTATGTTCAAATATTCTAATTGCAAGAGCGATATAAGGATAAACGTTCTTAATCGCGTATAATATATATATATATATATATATACATATATATATATATATATATATATATATATATAAAACACACATTCGTTATCAACTGATAGTAAAACAATGACATGTATATGCATTACGTAAATATACACTCGTACATCTTCTTGTTGGGAATCGATTAGTCTCGGTAAATTCATATCTGCGTGTTATGTAATTTTTTTCGATATAAGTAGAAGAATAAAGTGATCTTGTAAAGACATAATGTATGTATATATATAATTAATAACTATGACAGTAAAGCTATATAATAGTAAAATCATTATACGGTGACAATAATTGGAACGCGATTGTACATGTGATGAAAACATCTAAAATATAGATAGATATACCACACTTTTATATTTTTTTATATTGTAACATTTTCAGACGTCTAAATGCTCGAGTTTTTAAAATACATATATAAAATAGATACGTAATATCAAAATATTTTTAATTAAAGAACGTGCGACTGATAAGCGTATAAAATCAAATAATGTAAAAGGTTTTCTGTCTCGTAGCGCTTATAAAACGCGCTTACCTTGAATCAAATCGTTTAAGCGCGAGAGAGCAAATATTTATTAACTGTCTCTTGCTCACTCTTGACTTCGCATCAAGAATTGCATGCGCGTATACAAACAGATTAGATTATATTTACGAAAAAAAGTGCTCTATCAATCTAAAAATTCAATATAATTTTTCTATATATGTCGAGTAAGGTGTTATAAAAAAAACTTATTTTATTAAAAAGAACAATTTAATTTATCGAATTTAATTATTAAGATTAATGATAGAAAATAATCAGATTATTCTATTTATAAGTTACTTGTACATATAATTTACACATTGCCTTTATCAAAAGAAAATGTGCTTTATAATAGCAGGCTACATTTACTCTTAAATTATCTATCGAAATAAAAATCGGGGTCTTTCTATATTCCCTTACCCTTAAGAGAGAGAGAGAGAGAAAGAGAGAGAATCTTTTGTTACATTTTCTCTCACAATATCGGTTTTTTTTCTTCATTTTTTCATTTTTTCAGGATTTAAATCTTGTAAAAAAATTATACACACACACACACATACACACAGAGATTACATAATTATAGAGTTCGAACAAAAGCATTCTACGGATATCGATGTCAAGTTTTTATAGCTTTCCTGTTACAAATTGAACGGACCTTGAGTTATTTTACGTCGTCCATAAACCGGTGATAATCGCCAACAGTAATTACATACCCGCTCAAACATTGTTCGATTCAAAAAAGGAGATGTTTTATTTATAATTGATTTTCAATGTACTTGATTATATAATCAAAACATGGCAGATATGTTGTGGAAATGTTTGATTTTATTCAAATTATCCGAAAACTTACATTGTCAATATACGTGTAATTTTTCATTTGCATTCACACATGCACACACATGCATTAAAAATGCAATCTAAAAATGCGAGCTAAAAGAATGATGAATAATGATTATACTCAATTCTAAATGTACAATCATTATTTAACACACTTTCAATTAAAATAAAAATAAACTCTAAAAAAAGATACAGTACGTATCTACAAATCAATTATTTATTCTGAAGTTAATTGTACAGCTATTAAGTATATGTATATGTATATTATATCAATTTATAATAGAAAATATTATAAGTTGGTATTATAAATAATTATATTACAATAATATACATATACTTATCAGCTGTATAATTGATTGTAGAATAAATAACTGATTTTTAAGGATAAGTTGTTTAAGGATAAGCTGTCTTTTTTTAGTTTTCTTTTTTATTTTAGTTGAAAGAGTGATAAATAATGATTGTTCAATATATATATATATATATACAGGGTGGCCCATTTTAAACAATACGGTCAATTTTCTCGTAAACTAAGCGAAATATCGAAAAATGGTTCAGACATGTGTTGCATGGTTTCGAAGGGGCTACAAGATGGTGCCATTGGTTTGACCTTGGATAATCATTTGAAGGTCATGTAAAGGTCCTCAATTTTTTAAAATGGCACCCCCTATTTTTTATTACATATTCTTGTAGCTGACCTCGAGAGCTTTCCAAAACGCTATAATAAAATATTTTTGCATTGAATATTTTTCGAGTTATGAGGCTTGAATAATTTCTTAATTCTACATAAATCATAAAATATCTAGTAAAATATTCATTTTTCGATTATTTTACCTTAATACTTTTATGCACAAAATAATGTGAGAAATCGATTAGTGTAAAGAAAACACATAGTTATTTATAAGAAAAAATATGTAATTTGCAATTAACAATCACAACTCAATGCAAAAATATTTTATTATAGCGTTTTGGAAAGCTCTCGAGGTTAGCTACAAGAATATGTAATAAAAAATAGGGGGTGCCATTTAAAAAAATTGAAGTGACCTTCATGTGACCTTCAAATGATTATCCAAGGTCCAATGGCACCATCTTATGGTCCCTTCGAAACCATGCAACACATGTCTGAACCATTTTTCGATATTTCGCTTAGTTTATGAGAAAATTGACCATATTTTTTACAATGGGCCATCCTGTATATATATATTTGACATTTAAAAAAAGAGAAAGTATTAGATAGAGAGATAGCGCTTTTTATCATTATATCAAGATGTAAAGCTATTAATATAATAAAAAGAAAGAGGACATTATATTTTGTATATATATGGCAAATTAATTTTGAACCTTTTCTCAACTAAAATTTATTTTCATTACGCGTGATTCTAGAGCAGAGAATGTAGTCTTTTCTTACAATGTATAAGTTGAATTCACATATTTTAACGATCATCACGTGCAATGTGCATATACATATGTTAGTACGTAAAAGCCTCACATTTAATTCTTATAATTTGCATAATTTTCGATAATGTTTGAATAAATAGTATCTATGTACGTTTATCCTTGCACCATTAACTTTTACAAAATATTTATGCACAGAACGTGTAACAATATAATGTTTATACATTGCTGTTAACATTATCACATGTCTTACGTATGACAGTTTCATCCTCTTTTTCTTTTCTCCATTATAAAAATCTTCTGCACAAGCAATTGATGAAGCAAACTTGCTTTGACGTTAAAATTTCAAAAATAAACACACATCACGATATAAAAGGACTTACCTAACTCTGAGGATAAAATAGAAATATCAGCACAAATTGGACGGAATATATCGATCGTATATGATTAAACTTGATCGATATAGGATAAATGACACAGATAATGTATGAATGACGCGAGTCGATTTGTGAATGCGTCAACCGTTGGCAAACGATCGCAAATTAATAACGAACTGTAATCCCACGATATTCACTTTCCACCTGTCTGGATAGAGTAATAAGTTTCAATGTTTCCCCCACCATATCATTCAAGTAGAACGTTTGCGCTTTGCGCTGCGGTAGTTGAGGAGTTGCCGGGAGTTTATTACCGCAAAAGCCCAATCACACATTAAATAAATTTGGATATATATATATATATATGTAAAATATATAATTTTAATATATAAATATGTAAAATTCTTTTGTGTGTGTGTATATACATATATGCATATAGATAGATAGATACATACAACATAAATGTTCTTTGTATGTGTTTTTCAAATTACGTTTTTCAACGTTTTTGTGTTTCATTTCCTTTTATTATTCAGATCTATGTAATTTTAAAGAATTTTAATAAAATTTAATAAGATTTTACTTGCTGCGCACGGACATGCGTCCAACATACACGCAAATGTGTGTGTATGTAAGAGACATGTATTTATATCAATTTTTTTTTCATATATCAATAAAAAACATTCGTCTAAATACTTGTAAGATAATATTTTCTAATTCGACATAAACTGTGTTGTATAAACTGGCATTAATTATGTCAGTCTCTTTACTTTTAATTTTTAATTTCATTTTTATTTAAATTAATTTTAAAAACTTATTTAAACAGAAATATAATGTATTTTTACATCTCTATTCTTTCTTTTAGTATTATTCTCATTCATCTAAATTCCAGTGTCCTAATACTATTAAATCAATCATCATCAATAATATCAATTAACCCATTCTCTATATAGTATTATTTTTATTGCTTTTAGCAACGTTTATACAATTTGTATCAAACAGATTTTTTTTAAGATTTATCTGTGAATTTATTATATGTTGCGGGATTTGTCGCACAACCAGGACATGTGTGTAAGATGTCATGAATAAATATCTCACAATCTAAACAAAACGTTTGATTACATTTTTCACAAGTATAGACCTAAAAATAAAAATATGACATATTATTCTTATTATTTAAAATATTTAAATATTAATTATACATTGATTTTTTTTTTGAATGATTAAAGACTCTTTTTTCAATTACATGATTAATTTTAATAAAATTATATTTTGTTATTTTGAAAATTATACAATAATTTTGCATAACAATGCAATTTGTGAGAAAAAGAATACCTTTTTGTCTTTTTGCGCAAAAGTTTTTTGACAACCAAAGCAGAAAGAATGGTTGCCTTCAAATGTAACTTCTCTAAAAGGTTCAACGGGAAATAAATAATGATACGATCGTGCTAAATGTGGAGCGGATACTAAAGTAAGACCGCAAGCTCTACATTCGACGGGGAGCTCACAATGCTTACTAAAGCACTGGGGACAAAGATAGCCAGTACTCATAAGTTTTACCGATTCATCAGAGTTTTCTGCATGACTATAACAAAGAAAAATTATTAAAGTATGTGTGACATGTGTTGGGACAAAATTTTTAATATTATTACATCAAAGTACCGTTTATAATCTAAATGTAAATATATACACACACACACACACATACACACACACACACACACACTAAAAATAAAATAGGGGCACATATTATTCTGATCTGTACACTTACCACATGCACACTGTCATAGATGTGTCTGATGCGCTAGAGTGTAAGGCATGATGAGGAAACCCCATTTTCACAAGCGCTGCATCTAATCGCGTTGCAGCAGGTGGAGGATCTATATGTGCATTTAACTGCTCTTTATAATGCTTATCGTCGAGCGCAACACCATGTTCGCCACCAGTAATATTTGCCATTCGTTTACAAATGTACAATTCAGCAGCCAGTCCTATTACACTACATCTAATACTATCCAATTTCATATTCTGAAATAATCTCGGTAATACGAAAAGCTTTAAAATAAATATCATTATTATATACATATAATAAGTGCATACTCGTATCGTTTCATTGATGTCTCCTGGATCACAAGTAGTAAGAGCTCCAATGATTATCAATATTTCTTTACTAGCATGAGATGGTAATAGTTTCAATGATTTTGTAGCTAATTCCAAAGAATTTTGCAAGGAAGGTTCACCAGTTACTATAGTTTGTTGCAAAGCTCGTAATTCCTATAAATTATAAATGTTATATATATATATATATATATATATATATATATATATATATATATATATTCTTATTTATCTGACAAATTCCAGTGTCCTAGTACTATTAAATCAATTAATACATTACTCTCTATTATACAGTATTATTTTTATTGCTCTTTAACAATGTTTATACATTTTATATTAAATAATCTTTTTTTTTACTTTATCTGCAGATTTATTATACATTGCAAAAAAGTTTATCAAAGTGTGTGTGTATATATATATGATTATAATCTAAAACAAGATGTCTCAATTAGATATAAAATATAAAGACAATTACCTTAATATGCTTCTTTGAGTTGCCAGCCAAATCACTAATCTTCTCAGCTCTTTTATTTCTAGTTATTATTACACCTAATTGGCTTATAGGATTTTGATAGAAAAATTCTTCAATAAAGTCTTCTAGAAGCTTGAGACAAATATTTACTAAAGCACATACATATACGTTAACACAATGAGCAAATAATTGATAACTTTCTTTCATACCTTTAGAGAACACAAGAATCGAGTTGGTTTTAAATCTTGATTCGACATTGATTCAGAGGCATCTAAGATGATATAAAGATGCCTCATCATCCCTAATCGAGCACCTTGTTTTCTTTCCAGTTGACGTTTTCTCTTAGCATTATGAATAATATCTGCGACAGATGCTTCCAATAATCCATGGTCATCCTCTTTGATCGCTTCCCTGCAAAAAATGCAGTGTCAGTTAAATTATCGAATCGATGTAAAGTGTAAAATTTTTATTTACATATCAAAGAAGAGAATATCAACAATTTTTGGTACTGGAACATACCATGTCTTTTCATAACCGGTCTCCCAGCGATATTCCTTTTCCTCTGACTCTTCTTCCACCATAATTTATCGTAAGATAAAATATTCTATATAGCAAAAAGATGGATATATATTATTATAAATAAGCAAACGAAAAATTTTTATATTTATTTCTCGGTTAAATCATTATTCCTATTTTACTAAAAAAGCAAAAGATAATCTTTATATAATTCCAGTCTCATTGTTCTATTCATTCTGTCTCACGCACGATGAAAATTTTACTTTTCTCCAATTACACTCTATGTAACCTTCGTAAAATTTATATATTGAAAAATTAAAATGTTTAATATCCCTTAATGCATAACGTATCGCGTGTTATTAATATAATTTTTCTTTAAGGAGACTAGATATTCATTAAATTACACTTGTCTTTAATTTAATAATTAATATAATAAAACCTCTCCATGTTTGTTTGGTTAAATGGAAGGATGTTTTTAAAAAAATAAAATATAGATGCCTTTAAAACTCCCTCGTTTCTACTTTAATTATTTTAGCGTTATGAAACATTGTCGATTATTAATTCTTCGTTTATATTTGTTTCTTAAATATATTTCAATGTTATACAGTATACAAACATCGTTTATTTGAAAAAATATAGGTTAATATTTATTATATAATGTCACACACAAGTCTTAATAAAAATATCTCACTCAAGATGGTCCGTGTGATAAATTCTAAAATGATGGATGAGAAATATAAAAGAGACCGAGAGAGACGTATATTTTATTTAGAAATCACTTTATCTGCAAATGTAACGGATGTAACAAGTATCCGACTCGAGGCATGTATAAGTAAGCACGCATATCGAAGCTGACATCGGGCATGTGACGAATAACGAATGCGCAGCACCGATTCAACTTGTGTATGCGAACACATCTCTACATAGGCACGTGTATGCAATGTATTTACGTATGCATGCATCTATGCTACTTGCGGTATCTACCTTGTAAATTGATAAAGTGTAAACAAGTTTGAAACTCTGTCAAAGGTATAAAGCTATTATTGTATTTCGAATGGATTGTTTATTTTTTTTTTTTTAGACGAGACTTCCCGCCAAAATCTACTCGAGCGAGTCGAGCGCGGAAACCGCAGCGGGGTCGGGGACGGGGTCGAGAGCGGGACCACGACCACGGGACCCGGACCGAGGCAAACCGGATAGGTGTATAATATGTAAGAAGAAGACGGTCGCGCCGCGCGCCGCCACGACTGCCACGGCCTACCGCAGGCCGCCATGGCGCTACTATCGGCCGACGCGGTCGCTGTTTTCGTCTTGTCTCACACGACGACGAGCAATTTTCCAGACTGAAGAAAATCTAGCCGTTCACCGGCTTCGCCGTGTGTAAGTGATCGTTGCTCATCTTCTTCCGAGATTGTGCCATTAATCGGGTTAGCGCGCGCGTCACGGTGTGTTCGAAAAGCATTCACGTAAAGACAGGAAGTGAATAACTCTCATAGAAGAGTGTCGGCGACGAGAGCCATCTTTGACGAGCATCGGCTTGCTCGTTAGAGACAGAGGAGACATCGAGGTCTTTGCCATCGACGACGACGACGACGACGAACGACGAACGACGAACGACGAACGACGAACGACGACAAGAATAATAATAATAATAATAATAATAGTAACGATATAAAAAAAAACTCGACATCTCTCTCTCTCTCTCTCTCTCTCTCTCTCGCTTCGGCTCGACTTCGTTCTCAAATACTTCTCGTATTAGTATCTCGACATCGCTGCATCTCGCATACATACTTGGCAAATTATTTTCCTACTCGTTAATACGTACATAGCTCGGGAGATAAGATCGCGCTGCGGGTAGTGGCGGGAATAGGTGCACGCGAGTGTCGTTTGTTCCCTCGGTTTGTTCATCCTCATCTACAACTGGCCGCGTTTACAATCGCGCCTCGTTCATTCTATGCAGCCTAAGTCGCCTAAGTCTCTGTCGTCTCGCGCGGGGAAATGCGTTTAATTTAGACGTTGGTAAAATATAATAACCCGATGAAGAACGGGCGAATACGCTCTGTTTATCACCGCGCGTGGTACGATATGCGAGCGCGAGCGCAAACGCGCGCGCCAAGTGTAGGCGCGCGAGCACGAAAATTGTGCGGGTATGGCGCGAGTGTCTCCTTAGAAAGATAGAGATGGAGATAGAGAGAGAGAAGTGTTCTCTCGCTACTCTCACTCACCCGCTTACCGTTCGATCGCTTGTCGCCGGTGTACGCCGAGGTATATGTACCTTAGGTGTTTTCTCTCGTCGTGAATCCTCCGATGTCGCGGAACCGGCAATGTATACTCGTCGATCGCTTCCGCCTCTCTCGAAAAAACTAGCGAAAAGTTTTATGTTTGTTCATGATTTGCAAAACTCGCGTGTAACCGGGTATCGCCCGTGAACGAGATCTCTGTTTTCGGTCGCGCGCAATTTCGTTACATTATAGAGGGACAGAAGCAGCTTATGTGCGCGCTTGTCAAAAATTGTAACGATATATTATTTTGAACGGTACACTTTCATTTCATTTTTAGAAAAAGAGATTGCGGGACAAACGTATACAGGATGGAAGGAGACGATGGCCCTTCGGCTATCAGTAGTAAACCTAACGTCATCAAAGGTAATTGCTCTCCGCGTTTAGCGTTTAGATTTATACACGCTCTTGTAATTTGCACCTTTCTTTCGAATTTTAATATAATTGAAATAGAATAATTTTTTTATATTTCTGAGAAGAAATATATATATATATATATATGTATATATACACGATACAATTTTTTTTATCTGCATACATTGTATTTTTTCCCCTTCTTTTTATATTTATATTATAATGGCTGTCATTATTAATCTTTCAAATTGTTTTCTCCATCTACTTCTTTCAGCGGCGCAAGAGCAAATGGGACGATTGGATGTACTAGTATGCGGACAATGTCATTCCGTCTTTCATTTTATCGAGGAGCTTCAGGAACATCGTACAAAGGAAGGAGCTTGCTCCAAAGCATCACATTTTCGTGAAAATAATGACGTTGGTATTTTTATATTTAGAGTTTCCTCACTCAGTGGTTAAATTAATTATATGCCAATTTTTTGCAAAATTAATATAAAACTTTTGTAGAATGTACAAAAAGCACAAGTGTGGGCATTCTTGTTGTGGAAAGATTCGCAAATCCAACAAGAAGGTTCGGATAAGGATACACCTAATGCTTGGAAACTCTATCAAAAATGGTGTAAAATGGATACGCATATAAGAGATTCATGGATTACAGCAGGAAAGACTATACAAACTTTTACAAAAATTAGTAATGCAAAAATGCAGGATACACCGATACAAGTTCAAACAAACACCAATGTCGAAGGTATATATATATATATATATATATATTTGTATATATATGAACATACGTATAAACGAGAAACAGTTTCTCAGGAACGATACGAACAAAGAAAATTGAGCGCGCGCTTATATTTTCTATAGATGAAACTGCAAAGAGATGCTCGCTATTTATGATTAGAATTATTCACGTTATCTTGTTTTATATAGGTGCCAAACCGATAATAGTTCGCAAAATTATTAGAAATGGACAACCAGAGGAAACGAGCGAAGCTAAAAAAGACACTCCAAAATTATTGGAAACAAAAACACAAAAAAATGAATCTATAGAAATGGAAACAGACAAGAAAGAAAAACCAAAGCTTAAGCCATCGATTAAGCCTAAGGTCTCTCTTACAACATTTATATATAAAAATATTTATTTTTTCAGATTTGCTTTATTATTATTTGTTTCTATAGAACAAATCTGGCAAGGCAGCTACCGAAGAAGACGCGGAATCGAGCAACGAAGAGTACGTTGTCGAGAAAATTTTAGCTAAACGTTTTAATACGAAAAAGAAATGCTCGGAATATTTAATCAAATGGGAAGGCTACTCACAGTAAGCGAATCCTATCAGTCTTATCATGCATCCTTCTCTTTCCAATAAATTTTAAAATGTATAAAATTTCATAGTGAAAATAATACATGGGAGTCTGCAGAGGCTGTAGCAACTTGTAAAAATATGTTGGAAGAATTTGAGCGGAATCTCGCTAAGCAAAAGGAGCTAAAAGCCGCCCAACAGCAAACTAATACAAAAGTTGTAGGCCGTGCAAGTTTGCCAGCGCAAAAATCAGTAATAAAAACTGAAGTTAATAAGCCAGGACCGAGTACGGCGACTCAAGCAGGGTGAGAGTTAATTTGACCTTTTATAATTGATAAAATGTGATTACAATGAAAGAATTCAATGTTATGGATAGATATCCAATAATTTGTTGTTTTGTAGGCGACCAATGCGATCTAGTAAATCAAAAGCAATGGATCAAGTCAAGCAATGGTGTGGCTCGATGAAAGAAGAAGATAATGAACGTATGTATGACACACACACACACTTTTATATATACATATATATAATATTATACACACTAGGAGAAGTAGTCAAAAAGTAAAGTTCCACATTATGTAATTTTTTCAATACTTAATTTTTGATAAAGTATGTACATCTCTGTATGCTGTTTTTCAATATAGCCTTTTCTATTGCGTCGCTTGTCTAAATGATGGATCCATGTAAAAAGGTGTGATTCTATTGTTGCAGTCATTTCTGAATTTTATACTTGGCATCGTCATTTGAACGAAATTGCTTGCCAAAAATTATGTATTGAAAAAGTACGTGAATTGAAAGCCCTATTTTCTAACTTCCTCTCATATATATTTGTCGAAATGATAAAATTTTTCTTATTAATCGATATTATTAAACTAGTTGGATATTGTTTTAATTATATATATATATATATATATATATATATATATATATATATGTACATTTTTTAAAAAATATAGTATTAGGTAAAAGGAGAATCGACGATTCGGAGAGCGACTCGGAAGATGGTGGAAGTAGCGCTGCAAAGAGAACTAAAGCCGATACAGGCAGCGACGACGAATGGACTGGAGAATCGGACAGTGATTCGAGAATGGGCCGTAGCGATGTGATTCAACGTGCGTTCAATCGCGCTAACGCGCAGTCTAATGGATCCAATAGAGCGTCAGTTTCATCTACGGACTTGGCAACCTCATTAGGATTACAATCTCCCGAAGGAGCAAAATCCAGCCAACCACCTGTTTTAGTAGCCAATGCTAAGGGAGTTGTTAAGGTCGATCCCAAACAAATGCCGAATTTAACCTCTGGCGTTTATGTTATGTCACGAAAAGATGGTATCATTAAGCTAGATTCATCGCCCAGCGGAAAATTGGCGGTCAAAGGCTCTCCGACGACGCAGGGTGTGTTAATGGTCCAGAACCGGGACAATATAGCGAGGAAACAAGTAATCTCGACGTCGCAATCAAGCCCAATGACTCCTGCGATGAAAGTTGTTTCAAAGGTGGATGGTAGCCAAGTAGTAACGCAAATGAAAGTAGTCACCTCCAAGCCTATTACGGCAAAAACGCCGGGAAGCGCGCAAAAGACGGAACCTATAAAGATACAACCGAAGCCAGATCCATCGCAATTGCCACAAATACACGTTGTGACTGCAATGTCGGGACCGATAGCTTTGCAGCCGAGAATAACTACAGGCATAAGACCTGCTTCCGTTACGCCTCAACGAGCGGCGGATGGTCGTCCTCTATTGCCCAGACCGGCGTTGCGGGCAACAACAGCAACGAGCGTTCTCGGTACCATTCGCACGCCCGTTAGAGCACCAACACCGAGACAGATTCAAACGCAAGCGGCGCGCCCCGTGTTGCAGAAGCGTCCTACGACGACGGTCATAAGCACGCAGTCGGTTTCGCCGAGCACCGCCGGCACGCCCGTCACGCAAATCAGGCCGAAATTCACAGTGCTTACAACACCCGCGCAGCCTAAACAAGTGATTAAGACAGGAACTAGCCCAGTGCAACAACAAGCACAAACGAAACAATCTCCGAAAACGCCAGTGGGTAAGGCACAATCGTTGTTATCTCCGCAACAAAAGTTATTAATGGCAAAGAGAAAGGCCCAAGAAGCAGCGGGTATAATTAAATCGGGTGGTCGTGGACTTTTGGCAGGTGCGCGTGCTGCAGGTACCGCTGTGGGACGAAGCAGGGCGAAAGTAGGTGAGACACCTTCGACGATTGCTCAGGCAGGAGCAAAACTCAAGGAAAGCAAATTAGCGGAAGGTGATGGACTTCACATGGAGTTTCACGAGGTCGGCTCGGAAGAGAGCAGCAGCGACGGCGAGCCCGATTTACCACCTCCTCCCGAGTCCGATTCCGTTACAGTTCCCGAACCTGATAGTCCGCCACGTCCGTTCACGTTGTGCCCTCTCACAGGACGTATAATTGGTCCAGACGGCGAACCGATCGAACAAACGTCCGAACAAGCCGAGCCTGAACCAGCAGCCACATCATCTTCGAATACCACGACGTTATCGACCGCAATGAAAGCGACCACTGCAACCGTGCCCGAAACTACGATCGCGGCGGATATCGTTACGGCTACTACCACCACTGTCACTACCACTATCACTACTACTCCCACCACTACCACCGCCACCGGTGCCGCCGAATTGGTTTTACCTTCGCTCGACTCGCTCGCGGAAAGCGGTATCATGAGAGTCGAGATGAGTCCTGGCGGAACAACCGGTACCATTGTTCAAACTAGCGAAACAACAGCGCAAATTAATCTGTCGAATGTAGCGGTACCTGCGCCAGATTTGCCATGTTTGGACGATACCGCTCCTACAATACCAACCGTACCGACTGTACCAACCGCTCCTGTGTCCACGTCCTTGACAGAAAACAATTCGAATTCTGTTGAAACATCCATCACTACGGCATTGTCGGCTGTCACAGCAGCGACATCCACCGTTACCATGTCAGTAACGTCGGCCGACGCCAAGACTGAAGACAAGATAACGGAAGAGAGAAAAGTGACGACAGACGACGCGTCGTCCAATCTGGTTACTATAGCGGAACACGGTGTCGTTTATCAAGTCGCGGGCCAAGCGGAAGACGGACAAACGCTCTTAGTAACGCGCGGTGCCGATGGCGAACAACAATGCGTATATGTAACTACTGAACAGCAAGGAGACGACGGTTCTGTTTTGACATTGGATCACGCGGTTGCCGAGGCTGTAGCACAATTGATTCCTGATCAGGTAAATCTTACTCCCCAGTTTTATGTAAAGGAGGACGGAGCGGAACCGACTGAAAATCCAATGGTGATGTCTATAATGGATAACGCGAATGCGACCGATGTAACCGGGACGCAAGAGGATAACGATGGACAGGCGCAAGTTGTGGCTCAAGTGGTACAAGCTGATGAACCCACTCCAGGTAATGTGACATTTCGTTCTTTAAATAAAAACTAGTTGCTTCCGACAATATTTATCCAATATGTATTTGTCCGTTGTACGTCCTCTTTACAATTGTCTGATTATTCAGGGGGAACTAGGAGAGTGGTATTGCTCTTACCAGATGGAAATTTGATGATGACTGAAGTGGACGAAGAACAATACGCTGCATTGGAACTTGACAAGTGAAGACATCATTTTGATGTACGTTAAAGAAATATCACGGTAATGCATCGAATTACAAGTTATGCGTAAATTGTACGTTTAAAACGTGATCGTGAATTGTGTATATATATAAGAACGTTCACTTCTTAGTTACACATTGGTGACGTCTTATAATATTAAAGCGACTAGGTATTGTATGTAAAGCGGAGAGACAGAGAGAACTGATATAATGTAAAAAAAAAATCACATCAAGAAAAATCTAAATTTTAGATTAAAATACATTTTAGAAATGTATGTTTCAGTGTAAAACACTTTATTGGTATCTCCATTTTCGTGTTTAACTTTTATGATATAAAATATATAGTACACACATATACACTTTATTCACACACGCGCGCACACACACACACACATACACACGTCATAGAATATAAAGATAAAACTACTTTCAATGGAGTGACATCATTATAGTATGTACGAAGTAAGCATTGTATTTGTAGGATAGTAAAATATAATATGGGGTTTTATATTTTCCAATCAAATAATGAGCTTTGCTAAAAAAAGAAAAAAATCTTATTCCATGCATACAAAGTTCAAAGTGATGATATAGAATATTCATCGTGTCGGACGCATCTATGTAAAGGGTTTAAAGATTTATTCTCATTGATAAAACGTGATGAAGAAAGGATAGCAAAATATTTGTCAGAATTTTCTTTTTTTTTTTTTCTTTCTTTTAAATCTTTTAAATTTGTACATGTTTATCGAGCATGATTAAAATGGAATATTCTTGTATGTATTATGCCTTTATCTTATATTCATTATATGATTGTAACTCATGTCTTATAATTGATTCAAGTGGATGCACTAGTGTACAAATTTAAAATATCCGATATAGCAACATTTTAAATCGCTATGCGTACTCTCAAATTTACATAAAAATGTATTACTCTTAACTGAAAATGTTCAATATATACAATGTTATTTTACCAAATGTGATAAATTACACTGATGATGTCTCTGAGTTGTGTACAACAGTCTTTAATGTGCTCCAAGTCAATAAATTTCTGGTGCGTCCAATCGAAGTTGCTATTACATTACATGGACTATGTATGCTTATCTATATGATAAATAAATGCACTCTAACAAAACACTTATAATTTCTGAACCTATAAAGCTTAAAATATAATGTTGTTGAACGGAGTATAAACAAGCCTACTATTCTTAAACCCGTTCCTATTAGTTGTAGACAATTCTATAAATATTTAAATGTATAACGATAAGTATTCAACCAATATATTGTTTACATTACGATGTTTATCTATTTATGAAGAAAAAAAGAAAATGCGCGATTTTCTCAATAAAAACGATCATGTATCAATTCCATTTCAATTTTTTTTTAAACACATAGTACGTGTGTGTGTGTGTATGTAGTTGATTATGTTTTATTTTTATATATTTACAGCATAATATGTCAAATATTTCTCGTAAGTTTGTGTATGCTTGGTTCACACATTTATCTCTTCTATAGTTTTTATTTAAACATATATATAAAGAAAAAAACATCACTTTTAATTATATTATTCCAATGAATGCAAAACTACAAGTTTTTATAAGATATATACATTTTTAAAGTTTTATATTTTAAAATCCTATTGTTAGGAGCATTCATAATCCTCATGACAAAATTTTATGCCAGGTACTTATTTATCTTAGCTATATATAATTTTAATTAATTTGTAATTGAATTTTATAATAAATATATATATATATATATATATATATATATATATATTTTGTATTATATTAATATATAATTTAATTTTATTAGACACTATCACACATGTGTATATACGTGTGTGTATATTAATTATGCTTTTCGTCACTCAGAAAAATCAAATCAATTGCTTCATTGGTTAGTCAATCAAAAAGAAATATTCGAAAAACAGAAACACCAAAAACAATTTTAATTGCAGTCCCCAATTTTGTGGAATTTCGCAATTATGAATCGAATAAGTTATATCGGGTAGGTGAGTGGATAGGTAAGTAGATATTGTAAAAACAATTTTTAAATGAAAATATTCTCACTCTTCATTGTAGAAAGTTGTCATGCTACAAAATGTGAGTACGTCCTTAGCTAGATTTCAATTACCAGTACGGCCTATGCATTCACGATTCAATGTCATGATTGAATGTAAAAGACAAACGGGTGGCATTTCCCCAGGAATGCATGTAAAATTGATTATTTTATTTCGTTGTGACATCTTGGACGAACCCGAAGAAATGTTAGTGATAAATGTACAACAAGGACGTTCGGTGATTATTAAATTACGCGGATATCGTGATTCACCGATATTACAAAGTAAATTTATAATTGTGGTACTTATATGTGAGAATACACCTAAGCATATAGGGGTATTCTTGTTGAATAAATTTTATAAATTGTTATAAATAAATTTATAAAATTTGTCTATTTGCAAAAAGAAAAAGAAAAATTAAGCACTTGAGTCGAGCACAAAGAATAAGTAAAAATAATATAATAGCGTCATATGTAGGAAAAAATATGTAGAAAAATGGAAATTTCTCTTTTTATATATACCTTTAATTATTATAGTGACTAGTATCCCGTCTTTTGCACATTCGCGACAAAAACTGCAAGCAAAAGATATAGTAAAAAATAAAAAGTGTATTGCGAAAATTTTATTTACACAAACAAATTCTCACGAAAAGGTATAAAATTTTGTTATTTATTTTTGAATAATATCCCGAATAATCTGCATTTCTTTTTAAGTGAAATTGAATTTACAGTTTACCGATTTAGGTAGTGACGCATCAAACATATCTGGAGAGAGTATACTGTATTGCAAGAAATTGAAGAGCTTCGATTGTGGAGAGTGTCACGTAGATCAACAAGTTGTTTTATCTCTGATAGTTAAAAACATCGGCGGCGAAGGAAGATTCTTCATTATGAGCGAAATCGATTGGTGCTCGATGTATATCGAGGTAGAAATATAAATGCTTACATAATTAACAATCAAAGATTATTGTATCGTATTTTCAGGATGTCACTAACGACAATATGCTAATTCTACCATCTTTTGCTATATGGCCCGCATATTTTACCCTCAAGTCGCAAGAGTACATGTATCTACACATCTATTTCTTTCCTGACACTCACGGAATGCATGTAAATGATAATGAAAATAGTACATTTTTACACCCTTTTCTGTTAAATAAATCTCTCTTTTTTCTTTCTGTTTAAAAATTTTAAACTTAGGTAGAGACATTGTACGCAATTTGTGATAATTGTTCTGTGATAACAACGGAGATCATTGGAGATGGAATCGCGTACAAGCAACAGTAAAGTATAAGAGGTACCAAACATGTATATGTACATGCGTGTATGTGTGTGTGTGTGTGTGTACCTCTACCTTCTTTCGCGCGCGCGCCCACACGTATATTTCTCCTCTTTTCAATTGTTATCATAAAGGACTGATCCTATCTTAAATAAATATAAAGATGACAATTTCATTTTCAGATTCAAACATGTCACATAAGCTCATCGAGTCTTGCAATCAAGAGTCTATTTTTCAACGGAATAACTTTAGATATACAGATAATGTACAGTTTCAATGCACTTAATTATACTAGCAACATTTTTTAAAACATGCAATAAAAAATCCAACAGAATCAATACTTTCAGTATCAAATCTACATACTTTTCTCGCATTTTCGTTCACTAGACCATCTATGGTATATCCTTGACGACCATATCTATTTGTTTTTATCCGATCTGTAACGGATTCTAATTTTAACTGTGGAAATTGTTTCAATGCCCAAGCAATGATTCCTTCATTCTCTGCTATTGTAATAGTGCACGTACTATACACCAATATTCCGTTTTGTTTCAAGAGACGGACGGCCTGTATATGTAATTTATTACAATCATATATATATATATATATATATATATATATATATATATATATATACACACACATACACATTCGCAACACATATTTATGAATGTCCGTTTGCATAAAAACTAATTTGTCGACTTACGGCAGAAAAAAGACTTCGTTGCAAGGGAATGTACGAACGAAGCTGCGCCAATGTGATTGTATTATACAATTGCGGTCTTTGACCTAATGCGCTGCATGGTGCGTCCAAGAGAATACGATCAAAGTGATCCTGTTTAAATGGGGGTGTATCGGTATTACCGACAAAACTATCGCCTCGTTCAACGACAGCCTTTGTAGCATCGTAACAAAATATTTTAATGTTTTCGTCATTACACTTTTCCTTAAATCGCTTCGCTTTACCTGCATTTTTCTCTAATGCTATTATCTTGCCCTAGAAATTATATTAGAGATAATAATTAAAAATAAAATGATTAAAAGAACAAATACCATCATTATCTACATGTACTCTCTACATCTAGTTTCTTTTTCTTTCTTCTCCTCATTTCAAGAAGTAAATATATACTCAAATTTCAACTTTTTAAAAAGAAGAAAAGTGTAAAAAAATAGCTAGAAAGGACAGTTATCTGCTGATTGATATGATCCGTAAAATAAACTTTTTTTTTCCAAATATTTACCTGGCCTTTCATAAGAAACGAAATATGCGTAGTTTTGTTACCAGGTGCAGCGCACATATCCAAAATTGTCTCACCCGGTTGGGGATTTAAGACTAGACTACATATAATAGACGGCAAATTTTGTAACAGTGCATATGGTCTCAAAAATTCATTATCCGTATTCAATTGTGGAACTCGTGAGATTACATCGCTCATAATTATTGCAATACCGCTGGAAGACAATTTACAGCATCATTTTTGATACTATATGTATGGTACAACACTCAATCATGTATAACGAAAATAAACGAAAAGGAGCATTTGTACAGCTCGAATGGAGAAATTCTCCAATTGTAATATAACAAAGAGTAAGCTTATATCTTTCTTTCTTCATCATTATTAATTGTTCCTTACCATGGATTTGTTGCAGCTTTACCAAATAATTCTTTCCTAGTTTGTCGAAGAATGCCATTACCCAAATACATCTTCTTGCTATCTGGGTATGGTTTAATTAAGCCTTTTTTACAATGACCGGTAACGTCGGCGAATACGCTAACTTTACAATTAATGATTAAACCTATAGTGAATTTATAATAATAATAATTTTTGTGGCTACATAATTAACAGAGAGAATGCTATATACGTATAAGGATTACCATTCGGCATCCCAATAACACCAGGAGCATAAACGTGAGACCCTCTTAGTACAGCTGCACCACATATAGCATCGACAATAATCTCGTTTGGATATCTCTTTAAATCGAGAGATACCGATGAATCCCAACTATCAACAGCGACTATCCCGTTTGGAAGATCAGGTAAAAAGTGAATAGACGGATCTGGTTTATCAACCTAATATATGTAAAGCTCTATTGTGTAAACAGATATAGAATAATTCAAGTAAAACATCAAACATTGAGAAAAATATATTTTTCTTTTGTAATTAATAAAGTTTATAAGAAAGAGAGAGAGAGAGAGAGAGAGAGAGAGAGAGAGAGAGAGAAGATTAAAAAAATAATAAGTCTCAATATACTAAAAGTATCGATTAAGTTTTGACACTGAAATAATTGGCATATATTGCTGCTTCTTACAATTTCGTCGGAAAAGTATTAAATAAATTATTAAGTATTAATAAATAATAATTATATAATAAAGCATTGTTAAAATTATAAAATTATTCAAACTATCGCGCCAACATACCTGTTTTAATGCTTTACAAAGTTTCTGCAGATTGTCTGCATAATGATTGGAAAAGTGATCTAATCTATAAATACTTTTTCTAGGAGTTGTACACATCCATTTGCAGAGAGCATTGACCTTTTCCTATAATTTTTTTTGTTTTTAGAAAAAAATACATTTTATTCAAATTATAAAGTAGCAGGGAGAAAGTTATAAAAATTGTATTAAAATACCTGAATTTCACATTTTTGCAAATATCCGTCATTAGTGATAACTTTTCCTAAATCTGTTATCAATTCGTCGTATATTTCGGATTTATTTTTAAACGGCGTTTCTCCGAAATGATATGATTGTTCCAACATTATATATGTGTGTATGTATATATGTATGTGTATACACGTATGTCCTTTTCTTTTTTTTCGCGTATGTGTTTAACAACTTATATTTACAGAGCTGTGTGATACAGATGTAAGATCAGCGTGTAATTGCCCTTCAACTATTGGACAATTGAGCAAAAGTCTTTAACATTGTTTAATATAATATATATAATATATATTTAGAGATCCAATCATCACCAATCTCTATATATACACTCAACAACGTCTGTACTTCTGAAAAACAAAGAGAGAGAAAAATATATTTTGTTGAGAATCTTTTAAATAATTAATTATAATTAACTAGAAATGTCCTATTATATAACTGTTTGGCAAGATTGAAAGATTTGAAAGGTAAACTAATCTTGTTAATAGCAGAAACTGTTAAATATCTTTGCACATTGAATTGAAATTTGTTCAAATTCTCGTTTTCCAAATAGCCACATAACTTTGTGTCGCTACCCGTGCAATGAAAAAAAGAGCATTAGATATTTGACAGCGAGATTTACGAAACAACACAATGTCATCTTTGGTGAGCAACAATGAGGTACATGGAGGTTTGTAAATCGCTTCTTTGTTACATGTTGTGTAGACGTGTGTGTGTGTATCAATATAAAATATTATATCTAAAATTAAGAATAATTCTACATCATATCAAAAAACATCTAATTATAAATCTATCTTTAATCTCAAACTCAAATTCTTGTATTATAGTATAGTTCTCTTTATATACAATGTACATGTATACATGGTAATGATATATCTGTAATGCAGTTGCTACTAATGTGTCGCAAATGAAACGTCTACCTTTGCAAGAATATCAACAACTTTATCTAGATTTAGACAAGGCTCATCAAAATATTGCAAATCTTAATCAGAAACTATGTAACGCTAGAAGAAATTTGGAGGATGAAAAACGTAAACGTCGAGTAGTTGAGCATTATAAAAATTTATTGGTAAGTTAATTACTATAAAAATTTTGTACGCTGTCACTTGATACTTATTTGTATATATAAATCTGTTTAAAAGGAAAGTCAAATTAATACAGTTAGAAAAGTGTTATTCCATGATGGAGAAGCGAGCTTGGACGAAGAAATAAGAAAGAAATTACAATTTCTTATCAAACCTACGTTTGAATTCAAAATGTGTAATAATCTACACGTCCAAGAGAAACAGTCCGATGGATAGTAAGTACATCAATCTATTTTGTATCTGTGATATAATGATTTCATTTACGTTACACAACTTACTAATTTGTAGCCTGACCACAATAACAGAAATGGATTCGACAGGTTCGATATTAAGCGACTTGAATTGTTTATCAAAGTCGGAAGATGATTTGGACACCGATATTATTATACAAGCGCAAAAAAATAGAAAATGGAAAGAGTACAAACTTTACAATGATTATTCTGTAAATGAACAATGCAACACATTAGATAAAGTTGCAAAATTTAACTCATCCGATGGAGCAACAACTACAAGAGCTAAGGCAAACGACGATACGTATACTGCTTTTAAAATCAAAGTTACATCTAATAATGAAAATACCGATTCCAAACCGTTGAATACAGAAGCGCTCGTGAATCATAACTTTGTGTCAAAGATAGTTATTAAACCAGAGACATGTAGTTTGTGCAGTAAAAGGTAATTTGATCAAAGGTAACTTGCGACAGGTAAATGTGACGAACGAAACAGAACGAAACACATTCTAACAAAAATATAATGCAAAGTTATATAATTTTTCTTTTGTTTTATGTCAGAATCAGATTTGGAAAGATAATATTAAGATGCAGAGACTGCACTGTTGTGTGTCACGCAGAATGTAAGACGCAAGTTTTTTCGCTTCCATGTGGAAAGAAGACGGCAATATTACACAATACATCTGTAAGCGTACTACTAATGATAACAATAATAACGCTCTTTTTGTAAATTTAATATCCTTGCAATATAATTTTAGATTGTCAAACAGTAATAACCAATAAAACTTGAAGTTTGTTACTTTGCAGTGGAACAATATTGTGGAGAAAAAAAGGATCCAGTTTTACAATTTAATCGATTGAACCTTATTAATTTTACATGTTCATAAACGTATAATTATATATTGTAATGTGTCTCATTTCAAATGTTATATATCATGTTGGGAATATTTAATAAACGTATTTAGTAAATGTATTTAGTAAACGCTTTTACACGACTGGTTATAATTGTATTACGGATAATTGAACTTTGGTTATACTCCAATATTTAAAGAAGAATAATTCATTTTGCAATGTTGAAAATCTTGTGTCTCTTTGTGTTTTATATATATATGTATGTATTCTCCTCTTGATGAATCCATTTACATCTGATTACATTGGAAATTTAGAATTTTCATCTCCTTAATGAATCAACGCACTAGTAGAGCGTATCGTTTAATATTTCGAAATATTTAGTTTCATTTCTCGTTCGAGTTTTTCGAGAAATTACCTTTTTCGAGATCGGTTCGGTCGCGCTCTTCACTATCGCGTCCGTTTCGTTTTCACTCGGAGTTTGTTTGGCTTTTGTTTAACCTCTTTGCTCTATTTACCTTTGTGCAAATTCTGGGCGTTTTTCAGCAAGCGACAGAGTTCACACAGAGGAGGACGCAGTGTAAGGGCGCGTTCACATCTTGACAGAAAAGCAAAACAGCAGAAGCCAATCAGAACTCGCGCTGGTAGTCACAATTTCTACTTTTTGCTCTTCTAATGTACCGTTTACACCCTGCTTATTACCAGCGCGAGTTCCGATTGGCTTTCCACTCTTCTGGTTTCTTTTCGGGACCATTTTCTCTACTCGCACGCTATCAAGCTCGATCTCCTTCTCTCTTACTTCATGGCAAAAATAAATAATAGGAAGCATCGTACTGTTCATTTTATTTTGTCGCCATTTCATCCATCCATATAATTTATACGATTGCAAACATTCTGTGTAGCATAAAACGCTATTAATATAGCAAGGTGTGTGTACAATTTATTAAATACACGCTGTATCCAGTTTCTTCTTTTATATTTCTGTCCATTGATGTATAGCGCGATCTGATCTTTTCTTTATATATACAAAAACATCTAATATAAATATATTTGAAAATGTCGATCGGTCTATACGTTTGTTTCGTTCTTGTCGTAGGGTGTAACTTGACTGCAATTACCACTGTATTTTATAGGCTAAATTTAATGCAGCAAAAATAATCGGATAGAAATAACACGAATGATAGAGGGGGGGGGGGGAAGAATTAAAAACGCAATTATACGTTTCCATGTACGTAGAGAAAGACGCATGTTACATATAGGCGTGAGGGTAGAAGCTTTCGCCTTTCTTTCTCTCTCTCTCTCCCTCTCTCGACTCGACGCTCGACGGCAATGCCCGACGGCGATACCCGCATACATATATACGCCTCGACACAATTTCGAAATTTCCGATTCAACATCGCCATCTATCAGAGTACTCGCGTACCAATGTTAATTTTCACGCGTCACGTGACTCGTCGGGCCAATCGCGACGGCCCGGTGATCCTATACGTGGCATAAGGCATGAATCCTTTCCACGTCCGCCATTTTGACATACGGTACTTTTCGAGAGAGTGTTGGTTTTATGTTTTATCGTTTCTCGTGAAAATAATCTTTTTTACTGAAACGTAAGTAGCGCAAGTGGCGTATATGTGCAACGTGGCATTACCAGGGAACTCGATAGTAAGAGCAAGTCTCTGGGTAATGGATCTTTGAGCGGAGAACCCTCGACGATTCACTGGGGAGTAGGTCGAAGGTGACAGACAACCGGGTGTACGCAGTGGCTTCGCAAACCGCACAAAATCTTCCGCCACGCTCGCAGTATCACGCTCCACTGGCCTTTTAAATAGTACGAACACCCTTTAAAACTGCATAGATTGTCAGCAGAGAGGTCTATAAGTGATCCCCGAGGGTACGCTAGTCTTTGACGATAATCGTAGCGATGTATTAAAATGAGAATCGATAGGTAGCGGGCAGCGTGAGCATCTCGTGCGTGCGTGCGTGCGTGCGTGATCCTTTTTTTCTCTCTCTTTAATTTTTTTTCCTTCCAGTCGAGAGTCGAGTACGCGCGCGTACGATTCGATTAATCCGATCGTTTCGTCTCGGGCTCTTTAACGCGATCAGGTTAGTTTGCGAGGCTCTTGCAAGACGCCAAATTGCGGCGATTGCTGTACCGTGGCGTGTACGCGCCAAGGTATGCCGCGGTCGGACACTCTTGTGTATAACGTATACGTTACGTACGTGTGCGTTTCGAGGGACGACTTACGCGTGTCGCGCCTCGCGCCTTTGTCGATTAACCGCCGTCTCTTTCTCGTCTTCGCCCACGTGCCATCTCTTATCCTTTAGATTTTTTCCCATCAAATTTGTCGTCTCTTTCCTCGATTTTCTTATCCGCGTACGGCAGAGAAGAGAGACCAAAAAAAAGGAAACAAAGGAAATACACGTATAATTCTTTCCTCGTAACTCGTAGTCGCAATTGCATTAGAGGGCATTTACATATATATGTATATACACATATATATATATACACATACACATGTACACACACACACACATATGTATAAATCTTTCTCACGCTACTCTTGCAGTATGCGCAAAGTAAATAATATCAAATGTGTCGATTCAATTTTTTATTTTGCGCAACAAAATTTATTTCTACAATTTAAAAATTGCGTACACCTCTCTCAATGCGTAACAATATCATACACTTGCGTTACATTTTATATTGCTCGATTTTAGCTGCATACATATACATATACTTTGGTATATCATTAAAATTTAAAGTAATACAAAGTAATGGGACAATTTATAATTTTTCATTCCTTATATAAGACAAGCGTGTTTGTGAGAAAAAGATAATTTTATATATTTTATAGAAATATACATTTATATCTTTTAATTGTATTGTAATATATTTTTTTCAGATCCTTTGACATAATCGATACCAATCATGGGGAATATGTTTGCGACGTTATTCAAAGGCCTCTTTGGCAAAAAAGAAATGAGGATTTTGATGGTGGGTCTTGATGCAGCGGGAAAAACCACAATACTGTACAAATTAAAATTAGGGGAAATTGTTACTACAATTCCCACTATAGGTAAATATATCCCTCTTTCTCTCTTTCTCTCTCTCTCTCTCGTGTTGTATAAAATTTAATAAAAAGAAATTAAAAAAGGGAAAGTAATGTTACATGTGATTATATTTGATTATATTTGATTCATGACTATAATTATGGTATTTTAACAGTAATAAAAAATTTATTTATTGCAAAGTATGTGCGTGTTAACGTTATGTATTTTGCAACTTTTGTGTTAAACGTAAAAGTGTGATAATTTACAAATATATGTATGAGATATATGAATATCATATGTGTAAATGTATTTTTTAGGTTTCAATGTAGAAACAGTCGAGTATAAGAATATAAGTTTCACCGTGTGGGATGTAGGTGGCCAAGATAAAATAAGACCGCTCTGGCGACATTATTTTCAGAATACGCAAGTATGTTCTTTATTAATGTTAAACAAAATAGCGTTAGATTCTAATGTATTATCTAACATGTTTTTTATTATGTTTAATATATAACATGTTTACTCCAAATATAAAAGTGCATTATATCTTTCTTTCGATTATTTTCATCGGATAGATTTAACTTTAGATTTGACTTTTTGACATCACGCATGAATATTTTGAGATTGTATCAGTTTTATTCTGTCCCTCATATCTTTCATTTTCTGTAGGGTTTGATATTCGTCGTTGATAGTAATGATAGGGAACGTATTGGCGAAGCACGCGAAGAGTTGATGAGAATGCTTGCGGAAGATGAACTGAGAGATGCGGTACTCCTCATATTTGCTAACAAACAAGTCAGTAATAAATTGTCATAAAGTGTTACAAGAAATTTAAGCGAAAGACGATATTAAAGAAACTGTATTTCAGGATCTGCCAAATGCAATGAATGCAGCAGAAATCACTGACAAGTTGGGATTACATTCTCTACGTAATCGTAATTGGTATATCCAAGCAACGTGTGCCACAAGTGGAGACGGACTTTACGAAGGCCTCGATTGGCTTTCCAATCAGCTGAAAAATGCCAATCGCTAATTGGGAAATTATTCTGTCAACATTCAGTTGCTATATTAACATCATACAAAAACAGCTGCACACCTGTCCCCCCTTGGCTCTTTGCGATGAATGAGTAATACATTATAAGAAACAAACAAAATATAAACTGCAAGATCTCTGATCCTGAATGGTGGATACATACATACATACATACATACACACACACACACACACACACACACACACACATATACATATATACATACATATATATGTATATATACATGTATGTATATATATATGTGTATATATATATATATATATATATATACATATATAAATATATATGTATATATATAGAAGGTTCATTACTGAGAATTGTCTGTCTAGGCAAATTTTTTTGGGGGGGAGAGGAGTGGGCAAGCGAGGCCGTAGGCACATGATCGAATGGCCACACCGGACTATTGCCTTGCGCAAATCTTATTATTATTATTATTATTATATTATTATTATTATATTAGCATTATAGTTACACAACTTTTTACACAGAGATGCCACGAAAAAATGTGGAGAACTTGGGAGTAATTATATTAAAGTACCTAATTCTGAAACATACGATACACATTAATGAATAATTTAAATGATACCTTCGATAAGAAAATTCAAAAACATGAAAAACGAATAAAGTACCCACAGTGTTATCAGTTTTCAATGCGTTGGACATACCGATTATCATAATGTAGCTGCATATTGTACATTACATTATATAAATACGATAAAATGTGATCAATAGACAAGAGAATGTTGCTCTGTCCACATTACATTTTATAAAAGTCGCTCTCATCTCAGCCCAGGATGGTTGACACGAAAACGCAGAAAGTGATTGCAGCAAACGGTGCAATGACTAACTCTATATTTCCTAGTTATATAGTAAAAAAATTCATTTTTTAAATTCTTTTTATTTTTATATATATATATATATATATATATATATATATATATATATATCCTCGGCGATAGAAAACTTGAGAAAACAAAAGATATACGAATGGTTATCTCTTGACTGTGGCAGGTGTGTCCTCTTCCTTTTCTCACCTGCCCATCCCATCAAACTTGTAGTTATCCAACTATGTATATCTCACTATAGAGGAGATATCACACTTATTTATTGCACCTTGGTAAGATAAATTAGAATGTATCCTCGACACATTCCGAAATTGTGCAGTGAATGTGACGGAAAAATTCAGAGACTAATTTACAAGAGTTGGAGCTATCTGCCAAGAGATTCAGGCCTCGCAACTACTGGAATTCGATACATACTTTGGACTTGTGGCGTTATATACGCCAGCGATTATGACGCTAATTCGCGGTCGTTCTTCTATGTCCAAACATTTTTCCTGTCTTTGAGGTAATTGTTTTTACGAGCTAATTCTCCCCTATTTTCATTGAATCGCCTTTTCGTCATATGCGAAAATTCATATTATGTATGAATGTTTAAACAATTTGTGAAATATATTGTAATTGTGCTTTATGTAGTCTATATGTTATTTGTCAATGAATAGTCTTTTTAATCTTTGTTTAAGTTGATAAATTCTTATTCGAGATTTCACGCGTATTTATATAACGAAAGGTAACATAATGAGGGCGGTTTTTCTCAAAGGGGACGATGAGTGGATGTTTTTGTAACGCGAGATAAGCGACTGAAACAATAATACTCTAATATCAGCAAGAACGCACGGTAATTAAAATTTGCTATTGAAGAGGTTACATATCTTCACTGGAAAAAACGGCAAGTCGGGGTGGTATTATTAATTTTACATCAAGATTCCCTCTTTAATTGATTGTAGCTTAATCATGAAACATGTCGCACAATTATATCAGTTGATTTTAACTAGTGGTCTCTCTAGTATAGGCATGTGTATGTGTGTGTGTGTGTGTGTGTGTGTGTGTGTGTGCGCGCGTGCGTGCGTGCGTGTGTACACACACATGCCTACGCAAATTTTGTTGGAAAATTTAATCTGCACTTGTATTTCATGTTGTTGAGAAATTAAAATTTAAAAAAATGAAAGTTTTTAATTAAGAAATGAAAAAAATGTATATTTAGTACATTATATATACGTAACATGTATGCTCGGTCATGAAAGAGTATACTATAATTATAATTTATATGAAAAATTGAAAAACATTTTGTTGTAAGAAAGATTAAAACATTTTATTACATTCTCTATAGTTATGTATATATAGATATATACATATGGTTTACACGATGCAACGGTCGATCTCTAACGAACCATCTCTTTCGCTCGATAACGTACACGCATGGTAACTGGTAAATCATAATCTTGTCGTTTAGTTTTATAGATATATTCATTGTCATCATTCAATGCAGACTGTGTGACACATATATGTAAATCAAATCCATTTTTATGACTGCGAGATTCTGACCAGATGATGTGATGCAATTGTCTCGCGCGTTTCACGTGCATCATTTAATTTATTTCCGCTCCCAGCTATATTGCTCGCATACATCACATATTTATAAAAGAGAGAAAAATCTTTATAAACCTCGGTATAACTCTCCGTAATCGATTTTGATTTATATTGAAAATGGCTTTTCGATATCCTCGAATTCAAATACATATAATTTCGGATAGACACATGGCTACGAAAAAGGCACTCTGGATACTTTGAAGCGTTTTATTGACCATTCAGGACAAAAGGAGTGGGTCGATCAAACGCTTTAAAGCATCCAGAGCGTCTCCCCGACCGTAGCTATTGACAGATAGAGAGAGAGGAAAAGAAAGAAAGAGGGAAAGAGAGAGAGTGGGGTGGTGGTGTGGTGTGTGTGTGTGTGGTGTGTGTGGTGTGTGTGTGTGTGTGTGTGTGTGTGTGTGTGTGTGTGTGTGTGTGTGTGTGTTGTGTGTGTGTGGTGTGTGTGTGTGTGTGTGTGTGTAATTGCCATTATAAAACACCACATATATGTAGATACGTATATATGTAGATACGTACATATGTAAACGTCCATTTTTCAATACTACATATTACAAAGCGCACGCTATGCGCGCGTCATTTACCCTTTTATTGTGTAATATAATCGGAAAACAATATGTATATAATTGATATAAATAGACAGGGTGTTTCATGATAAACGCGAAAAATGTTTAAGACATGATTTTCTCTCCCTCTCTCTCTCTCTCTCTCTCTCTATATATATATATATATATATATATATATGTGTGTGTGTGTGTGTGTGTGTGTGTGTATGTATATGTATAATTGCATACATATAATTTGATATGTGATTATATATAGGCAACTTTTTTTCTTCAAACTCAATTTTAGAAACCAATACACAAAAGATATATTTATTACTTGTATTTCTTTATCTCTATATATTGACGCACATCATAGTTGTTGAAAAGTAAATAAATAATTTTATTTTAATACTACTTGACATTTTTGTTAAAAAGAAATTATATCCGCGACATACCATAAATTTGCTATTAAAAGCAATGAAAATGATAATTTTTTGAACCGAAGATAATTTGCAATATACATAAAAAAGAAAGCACGAACGTTAATATGTCGCGATAATGTCATGTAAGATAATGTGATGTTTTTAAATAAAAAGTTTTATCCGTCTTTTATCGATAAAACATTATAATTATATAATTTTTAATAATTAATTACATGTATAATCTATCTTCTCTCTCTTTCGACACAATTGAGTACGTGCTTCTTTTACACGTATATGTAAGTTGTGTGATTGTGCACAAGAAAGCGTAACAGTTAGCGAGTATGACACAAAGCGACATTAAAAATATCATGCTCCATTGAAATTGTAAAAAGAAGGAAACTTTGTTTCTCTTTTTTTTTCGGCTACATTTTTTTTCTCGTTGTCAGTTATTTTTCAATGTTTCTCAAGATTTATCAAACAGCCAGGATTACGTGTTTTTGCAATATTGCGATTATTGCAAGTATCGCGGCTATCGTGACGCCACAATTATCATATGATTATCATAAATTCTAATCGGAAAAGGCTATAAAATTTAAATATCAACGGCATACATGTATTTACTTGAGACGAGAAGAGAAGTGTCGTGTTTTACCCATACGTCGTACGTTCCATATCAAAGAGTCAAGCTTGATGGTATTCCCGCATTCTCGGGTCACATTAAATATACATGTAATTTATATCCTCTTGCGTAGCTCGCACGCATAAACTCGTATGTCCATGTAACTCGTATGTCTATGTATGCGCGCGCGAAGAAAAATAAAAAGCACCCGCACGTTGATATCTGGACGTTTTATAGTAGGCGCACGCATATCGTTAAACGATGGGAATGTTGGCGCCACGTCGCATGACTCTGCACAGAAATGACACAACTCGCATAGAGGTGATGTAGTTCCGATTTGAATAATAATGCAGTAATGATGCGGTGCGAGAACACGCGGCGCGCCGAGATCTGTTGCGTCTTGCGTCCAATATGGAATCTCGAATGATAAGGGAAGTGAAAGGAATAACCCCCGTCTCAATTTTCTCCCCCGTCCCCACCCTGTTTTCTCCACAACTCATCTTTGCCGACTTGCCGTCCCGCCCCATCATCCAACCTCGCATCGGATAAAACGAGGTGTTGGCGCATAGGCTATAGGAATTTTCTCTTTCTCTCCCCCTCCCCCCTCTCTTTCTCTCTTTGCAATTACTATTAATTTTTCAATTTATACGCGTCACGACAAGTGTATGCTAGTGTTGACGATTACGTGTAGCGCATACTTTTGCCAAATTTTATCCTAAATTTTGTCACGACACGAATAATGTGCAAGTGTCGAAAAATCTCGCAATGTAGATATGAGGAGAGAGAAAGAGTCTACTTAATCTTTATCACGCGCGAGAGAGATGTGTACCAATTTCCAATCCATCACTTTGCCTAAGAGAAAATCAAAACTATGGAATTGCACGTCAAAACGATTTCAACATGTTTTGAAGGATCAAATTGGCTCGCAAATATATTTCAAATTTTAATTGTATAGAAAAATGCGTGAGACTCTGCCAGAATAACACTTTTTTCCAAAGTTTGATTATCATAATTGATAATATGTCAAAGGAAAAACGTGGAGAATCATAATTGCGCAATTGTATAAGCTTATAATTTATCAACTTGTTCAACTTGTAAATATTTCGGCAATA